TCCTCTATACAATTACTTCATGTTTTCATTTGCACCTAATCTCTCTCTTTCTGTATCATGCATATTCATTGCTTTGATACTAGGATATCGAAGTCACTAACAGTCCACTCAGCAACTTGATCAGGGTCCTTAAAAATCTCAGCTCCCAAATCAATAGACCTCCATTGCCTCCTGGCTGGTGGACTTCCAGGATCCTGATAAAAATATAAAGATTGAGACAATCTTCCAACATCAAGCTCCCAAGTCCTTGGATCGCCAATCCAACCTTCTCCTTGGCTAGTAGGATAGCCATACTCACCCCAAACGGGGTGTGGCAAAATTTGCAATATTTCCTGAGACTGAGGATTGCTATATGGATCACATAAAGTGTAAGGCATTTCAAGATGGTCTGCATTTCCAGGGGAGCAATACAGGTGATAAGCAGCATAAGGGAAGTGGGCAGTGTCGTTGCGATGGACGCGAGTCCCATTGGGGAATGTGTGGTACGGTGGACATGTACTGAGATGGTCAGGCTGGCACCACGAAGTTATGTTGGGATTTATGATCATCTCACTATATCTAGTAACATCTGATGTTACATTGCCATCACAATTTTGTCCATTGTTCTTCCAACAACTGCCAATGTCCAGTAGGTAGAATTGGCTGTTATGACCCCCACCTTTGATCACATTTAGAGTAAACCTTACTTTAAAGTTTGGTGATCCTGGAATCTGCAAAATACATCTGGGATTTTAATGATTGCCCAACAACCTGATTTGCTTGATCGAAAAAAATTGTAATTTAAAATGGAATGCTTCCATAAAGCTAAATTAGAGTGAGAATGACTTACAATCTTGGACATACCCCTGGTGGGATAATGGTAGCCACCAGACACCCCCTGCGTGGCATCTGATCGGAAGTAAAGCATCAACCACGGATACTTTATTGAAGTCCTCAAGACATGATGAAAAACCCAACTTCCTCGACCAATTTCCTTCTTCCAATCCACAGAATGGTAAGAAATGTTACCCACCGATCCTTTACTCAAATCAGCATTCAAATCCCATGAGCCATAAAACCTTCCCTTAAGGGTAGTCCTATTTGGCCCCTGCAATGTGGTGTAGTCATGATATATCAATGGTTGATTCATACACCCTTTTCCAAAGCAAGGGAACCCATTATCAGGGCCAAATGGCCCAACTTTATACCCGTTTTTAGGACACATGGCTGCAGAAGTATCCATGTTACCACTCTTGAGCATGATCATCCAAAATTGCCAAGGATTTGGTTTGTCTTCAACTTCACATTTAGATCCCAAATAGAGTTCCTTCTCTGCAGCATAAAGGTCTACATTGAAAAGAGCATCCGGTTGAACTCCAAGAAAAGGGTCTCCAACCCCTAGCTTGTTGTCTGCCTCTGTCACTCTGTGGACCAATGTGTAGGGTAGGCAAATGGAACAGTTTTTTTCTATACATAAATTAATTGCCAAAAATGAGAATATAATGGAAAGAATAACTACTTTTTCTACACTGCCAAAGATAACTTGATATATGTTTCTGGAGAGAAATTAAATAACACAGTGACTTTCAAGGACAAGGTTGCTTTTAATGTAAAGATAAAACAAAATACAATCTTCTTTCATCACCTCCACGAACATGATGAGAAATAAAAAAGGAAACGAATCCAGTTTGTGTTAATGCTCTTTAATAATTATGTTTAACCTAATCATAAGTGACCTAACATCAAATGAAAATACAAGGAAAAGTGGGAACTTACCATTTGACTGTGGAGAAGCCTTGTATATGTCAAAGCAATCTGCAGCTCTTGGACTTCCCATATGAGGAACTTCTTTTCCTACCTCATTGCATTGATTCCATGACTCAATGGCTAATCTAAGGCCATCCCTTCTCATTCCTGGATCACCTACTGCTGATATATACTCAGTTTCGGCATTCGCATGCCAACCATTGCAAAGAAAAACCAGAACTAGAACTAGAACTACAGAAAATCTACATGGTTTCCTGAGCTTAGCCATTGATGATATTTCAAGCTAAGTTGAGATGAAGTAAATTTCTATATCAAAGTTTTTGTGCTTTGTAATGTATGAAAGAATCAATAAACTTCAATGAAAGTGGGAATGGGACTTATTTATTTTAAACTTTGTAGAGTTTGCTTCAAAAAAATTTTGTTCCTACTTTTTAAATGCATAGAACTTACTCTATCTTATATGCCTTTCTCATGCTGAATATTAGGTGTAAGTAAAGCTGTGCAGCACTAAAATATCATTACTTTTGACTGATTTTGCCCTTTGTTGGGTGCAAATTCTGTATCTTAGAAGGCAGTTTGATGCTTAAGTATTTGTTAGTCCCCGACTTTCGTACCAGAAAAGAAAAGGACAAGCCCATCTCTCGCAGAAGTTCAACTTTTCCACAAGGGAATTTACTGTTTCTACATGATGAGAAATATTATTGGCCAAACAATGTATTAAATGGATTTGAACATGAAACATTATCTTTACTGTTGGTGCCAGGATGGGGAGTTAATAATGACTTCCTACTTTATTCGTACTTCTCCTTGCTTGAACATACAGTACCCTCTTTAGTTTTCTGATTATTAGGTGAAACGCAGTCAAATCAAGCACTATTGTTAACTCCTTATGGGTGGAAATTCTGAATCATAGAGGGTGGTTTGATGCTTCAGCTTTTTGTTGGATCTTGACTTACCTACCAGAAAAGAAAATGACAAACCCAATTTTCTTTACAGAAGTCCTTAATTTCTGCAATCTAACTTTTACCATCTCTGGATTTACATAGTAACCTTAGCTTAATTTCAATAATGTTCTTGATTACATAAATATTTCTATTATTGTTAACCATATAAAATGCATATTCTGATATAATGCATTACACATTGAAGAAAACAATACAGGAGTGGTTAGGATGAAACAACCCCCCAAGTTAAAAAACTTAACAGTTGTGACCTTTAGGATGAAGACATAATGGTTTTCTTTTAATCAAAGTGATGCTTTCATTATTTGTGAAGCAAGAGCAAAGTTAGATGATTCTGTACTTGAGGTGTAAACCATCCTGGGAGGTTGATACCAGAACCATTGCCGAAGTATCTTTCACCACCCAAAATCTGTATACTTTAATTGAGATAGTTCAAGATTTATAAACTAGTTTATACTCTCATTCATCGGCAATGTGAAAAATGATAAAATTCATATGAGAAAAGTCAAATATAAGAAAAAACTATCTAGTTTTTTCATTTTTTTTATTACTAGAGTATCTAGCAAACTTGTGCACATCTCAACTAATCCTCAGAGTCTATTAAACACCCTATAAGTCCAAATGATCAGGTAAATCATAATGTTATTGTGATAGATGACCTTAAAGTTTGAACTTAAAAACTCAAGAAAGTGAGCAACCCTCCTTGACCGCGAGGCCAAACCCTTGGGGTTAACTATCTAGGTTTTTCTTCTTCTATTCTGTTCATGAATTAACCTTTTTCTTTTGTTTTGCTCTTGCTGTCATCATCTATAAAATTAGGCAAATTTGTATTATCTGAGGAAGAAAAAATGTCTGTAACAGAATGACAACATTGTTCAATTTGTTAAATTTCATGTTCAAAGGAAACTTGGGAGCTAGGGTTTATCAATATTTTTCAAATGAGAGATGACTAACCATGTATAATTTGAAGTAGCGCAGAGCAGATGGGGTGAGTCTATGTTCTAGCCAGCCCAACCCAATTTTAACCCAACCCATGAGATTTCTTTGGCTACTGCAGAGAATCTGTACCAAAGTTTGACTAAAAGAAGACGACACAATGTAGAAAAGGCCAAAAGCAAAAGAAGGAACAACAATCAATTTGATATTTTGATTTTAGTACCAAAGGGAAGGAAATGATTAAAGAGAGAACATCTCTAAATCACTAAAACCATACAAATAAATCACACCCAAAAAGCAAAGACATAAAAAGAGAGAGACAGACTATCTGTCTTAATCATCCAAGATGGTCTCAAGCCAAGTAGCTGTTAGAGATATTGACAGCCAGTTCAAGTAATGTGGTAATATGGAGAAGGCCATCTGGGTTTAACTCAGTTTCTGATAAATGTATGTACTTAGGTTGTTACTTAACTTGAGCATCAGAAATAGGGTCCCCTACTTGGCATAAATTTCTATTCAAGTACAAATCAGAAAGCAGAAAAAGGTAACTAAAGTGGTCACATGAATTAGAGCGGTTCTTTCTTTTGAACCCCAAAGACAAAAAGAAAAAAAAAANACCATGTATAATTTGAAGTAGCGCAGAGCAGATGGGGTGAGTCTATGTTCTAGCCAGCCCAACCCAATTTTAACCCAACCCATGAGATTTCTTTGGCTACTGCAGAGAATCTGTACCAAAGTTTGACTAAAAGAAGACGACACAATGTAGAAAAGGCCAAAAGCAAAAGAAGGAACAACAATCAATTTGATATTTTGATTTTAGTACCAAAGGGAAGGAAATGATTAAAGAGAGAACATCTCTAAATCACTAAAACCATACAAATAAATCACACCCAAAAAGCAAAGACATAAAAAGAGAGAGACAGACTATCTGTCTTAATCATCCAAGATCGTCTCAAGCCAAGTAGCTGTTAGAGATATTGACAGCCAGTTCAAGTAATGTGGTAATATAGAGAAGGCCATCTGGGTTTAACTCAGTTTCTGATAAATGTATGTACTTAGGTTGTTACTTAACTTGAGCATCAGAAATAGGGTCCCCTACTTGGCATAAATTTCTATTCAAGTACAAATCAGAAAGCAGAAAAAGGTAAGTAAAGTGGTCACATGAATTAGAGCGGTTCTTTCTTTTGAACCCCAAAGACAAAAAGAAAAAAAAAAAATAAAAAAAAATTAGTAAACACAGAAACACGACGTACCTATTTATCAGCCTAACTGCCCCATAACTGCTAGAACTCTCCACACTTTTCATCCATTATCATTCATTCAGTTTTCTGAATGTGATCAACATTATCTCCTTCATCAAACAGTTTTCATTCAGAGACTCACTTTCTATCTGTTAGCATAAGATAATGAAGTGGGGAAGAAAGAAAGTTTATAATTCCAAGTCGTCTTCTTCTTCTTCTTCTTCTTTGATCTCTCATGTCTTTCCCATCTCATGGCTTTCTAAGTTCAAGCAAAAGAGTAGAGACGTGGAACCAAAACCGGGTAAAGTGAAGGGCGTCGACGCCAGGTGGAATTCGGCCTGCGTAAGTTCGCAAACATGTGGTAATGCTAGAGGAGGAGGTAGATTCTATGGCAGGGAAGGTGATGATTTCTGGAGATTATCATTTGGCGAAGAGGGTTTTGAGGGGAAGAGTAGTAGGAGTGTTTTAAGCTCGGATTGGTTTAATTCTCATGATGAGTTTGACGTTCCGCCTTCAACTTGGCAGAGTTCTGGATCAAAAGCTACAACGTTAATGGGAAAAGAAGAGATTCAGATGTTTGACAACTTGAGTTTGAATTCAAGGAAGATTAGAGAGTCGTCAAGAGATGGGGAGATTTTTCCTGGAATGGATGCATGTAAAAGTGAAGTACATGAAGCAATTATCAAGACGCCTAGAGTGAAAACTGAAAAGAAATTGAAGAAAATAAATCCAAGAGTTTCAAGGAGTTCAAATGAAAGAGAAGAGAAATCAAGAAAATCAGTTGCAAAAGACAACTTGGAATTTGAACAGCCAAGAACAATTCAAATGATGCAGAGAGAGAATTGCAAATTAACGAGTGCTGATTTAGAGAAACGGCGTCATTTCTCTTCAAGAATGTCAAAAAATTGTAATTTCATAGCTGAAGAAGATGGTGTACATGCAGGACGGAGTTTAAATGGAAATTATGGAACTTCTGTAGAGAAAATGAGTTCAGAGTGGGAAGAATTGAAACAGATGAAGATCAAAGAGCTAAAGTCAAAGAATGAGAACCAGAGGAAATCTATGTACATTAGCAGAGAATTGCAGAGACAAAGAACGAAACAGAGTAGCAGGGTGAAAGTTTCCTCTCCAAGAATAAAGGCCCTTGAAGACATGAAGAAAGCCAAACTGAAGATGAGGAAGGGAAAAGAGAAAACAATGGAGGGAGGAACAGACCTAGAGAGCTTTGCTGTGGTGAAAACCTCATTTGATCCGCAAAAAGACTTCCGAGACTCGATGAATGAGATGATCATGGAGAAGAAGATCAGCCAGCCAGAAGAACTCGAAGAGCTCTTGGCGTGCTATCTGACACTGAATTCCGATGAATACCATGATCTCATCATCAAGGTTTTCCGGCAGGTATGGTATGACATGGACCAGGCTTGCTTTGACAATGAATTAAAGAATGAAAATTATTTCCATAATTATTAACTAATGGTCAGCTAATGATAGGCAAACTTGTAATCATACTGTCAATAGTTACAGTCTTAGTGCTTTAATATCATGCTTCTAATTTCATTTACATTGAAATCTTTACTTGAAATTTATCGCACATGCACCAGAATCCTCTAAGTTGACAATTGGTAGAACTGAATGTACTAAAAGAAAAGAAGTTTTTAGGTGGTAAATAGTACAAAGCTGGCTACTTACAATCAGGGAACACTATCACTAGATGCCTCCCCACAATGTTCTAAAGACGAAGCGGTTCCATTCTCCAAGTACAAACAATTTTAACATCCCATCAGCAGAATTCTATCATTTTGTAATTTTTATGCAACAGTTATGGATTTGAAGGCTCCTTTCTCTCAAAAGTCCACTGCCTATTCTTGTGGATTCCACAATCTACAGCACATGGCTACTTGTAGGCTTTAATTGAACTCATACGGAGTGCCAGGATCAGGAGAGTGAACAATTGTTACTTCTCGAAAATAAGTAGGTTTAATACCCTGTTGGGCTCCAGGGTTTACCAAGAAGAGCTTGCATCTGGATTGTCTAATTCATACTTCCCAGGGTAAAGTTTGCTCAAGGAATAATTCCTTCACCAGCTAAAAACTCATGAATTACTCCATCCACTTCTATCATGCTACAACCGGGCTCCTTATTTACTTTTTGTGCCTTCATCTTACTTCTCACCTCCATAACATCATCCCATCTTCCAACAGATGCATACATGTTTGACAATTGAACATAACCAGCACTATCTTGAGGATTCAACTCCAGGAGCTTCCTAGCAACAAACTCTGCCAATTCAATATTACCATGGTTTTTGCAAGAACCCAAAAGTGATTCCCAGACAACAGGAGCTTCTTTCTGTGGCATTGTTCTCACAAGTTCTTCAGCCTCCTCTAGTAATCCCTGTCGACCAAGCAAATCCACCATGCAGCCATAGTGCTCAACTGTTGGTTGAATCCCATATACACGAGTCATGAGGTCAAACATTTCACGCCCCTCATTTAACAACCCTGAACGACTACATGCAGATAAAACGCCAATAAATGTCACTTCATTCGGCTCAAAACCCTCCACAATCATCTCAGAGAATATCTGCAATGCAGATTCTCCAAAACCATGTATACTTAAACCCGAAATTATTGAATTCCAAGTACTAACATCCTTCCTCAGAGTGCTTCTAAAAACTTTCATAGCCTTTTCAATGTTCCCACATTTGGAATACATATCAACAAGTGCAGTAGCTATAAAACCATCAATTCCAATCCCATTCTTATCAATATAAGCATGAATCCATTCACCTTGGCTTAAAGCTCCAACACGAGCGCAAGCAGATAAAACATTGACAAATGTGCAATTATCAGGCTTCACTTTCGCATTCTGCATATCCTCAAACAACAATAAAACTTCCTTAAAACAACTCGCGTGCGCATAACCAGTGATAATAGCATTCCAAGAAACCACATTCTTCAAAGGCATCATATTAAAAACCCGTCTAGCTTCTTCAACCAATCCAACATTTACATACCCCGAAATCATAAAATTCCAAGATTCTACACTCCTTTCCTCCATTCCATCAAACAATTCACGCGCCAACTCCATCATTCTCATTTCCACATAAGCACTTAAAAGCGCATTCCAAGAAACCACGTCTCGATTCGGCATTTTATCAAGCATATTACGTGCGCTTTTGATACACCCCGATTTAGCATAAATATGAACCAAAGTATTTTGAACAAACAAATCACTCCCAATTCCATTCTTTAACAAATGACCATGAATTTGCATTCCTTCTCTCAATCCACCAAAATTAGCACACGCCTTTAATACAAAAGTGAAAGTGTACTTATCAGGAACAACATTTGCATGGCCACTTAACATTTGAAGGAAGATTGGGAGTGCATTTTGTGGGTTGAGGCCGTTGGCATAAGCTCTAATGAGGGTATTAAAAGTGTATGAATTTGGGTCGTGAATGCGAGTGAAAACGGAGTGACTATAAGAGAGAGTTTGAGGATCAGGGTTCGTGATGGCAAAACTGATGAGTCTGCTTGCAGCAAAAGTGTTGTTGAAATGACCAGTTTTGATCATGTGGGCATGAGCTTGCTGAATTTCAGTAAGGGAAGTGGCCATATCTGTGAAAGAGAGAATCGGGGGCTGCGATAAACATGCACTCATTGTCATCTCCCAAACTGTTGAGTCGATTCCCGACTTGTTCACAAAATGCTTATATTCAAACGTCGACCCCAAATTTTCTTGTGAAAATATCTGTCAAGAGTATAATTTGTATTATACCAATTGTTGAGTATGATTTTGACACTAATCGGTTTCAAAGTGTTAAAGCAGGTCTTAGAAATTATACGTAATATAATTATGAAAGTTGATTATAGAGCTGAGATGATATACGTTTGTAGAAATATAAATAAAAGATTGACAAGGAGATTTTTTAAAGTGGTTCGGATGCTTAAAACGAATCATATATCCATTGTTATTTTATTATTCTCTGACTATTTTTCTGATATTACCTATAAAGGCATACAAAAATAGAGAAATGTTTTGTTTACAAAGAAAAAATAATAAAGTTCAAACGTATGCCTAGCTCTCATATGCCCAACCAGTCTCATTTTCATGAAGAGAGCTGCCTATTTATACACATTTGAGCTCAACGTAATGAGTGTTTTTGCAAGTTGTCTTGACACATGGAGAGCTTTCATTCATTCTGATCCTTTATTTTGATAAAGCTGGAACATGTGATATATAATATCTCTTTGATGGGGTTTGGGCTTTGACAACTAATACCCTTTGCCTTTAAGTGCTTGTTGAGCTCTGATTGGTGGTGCTAACACCAATGTGTATTTTTGGCACAACAGAACTATTAGTGTATGCCTTAAGAACCAATCGTATTGTCAGTTTTAAGACATTATATCTTGTGAATACTCTTTTAAGAATGGAAGAAAGAGTTCTAATTTCACATGTTGTTTACTGCTTCATTTATACTATTTATAATGCATGTGAAATGTCCGGATGATACGGATCTTTAGAAGATCAAATCGTCGAAGCATTCCCTACGTAAGTAATGTTAATTGGGCAATAACATTGCATCGTAGATATATTGAATGCCTCCATTGAATATCATGTGATGATATTAGTGTGGGTGATTATAAGAGGTATATCATTAGGGCATTAGCATGGATAAAAAGTTGGTGAACTGTTTATCGAATATGACCGATTACGATGAATCATATGGACATTTAGAATGTGGTCAATGATACATCTTAGGATCTTACTAGTGTACCACTAATCTTTAGACCCGAGACATTACGGTCAGACTCGACATATGATGCATATTCATATGGTGTATATACACAAGACTAGTCATGTCTTGTGTAAGAAGCCAATTTGATCATATGTTATTCATGTGCGAGGACAAGTGATGGTCAAGATAGGATTCGTTGACTCAAAATAGTTTGGTCCCGAGTTCCCAGATGAGTACAATAAACATTGAAAAAAGGAAATCTTTGGCCAGAGTACAAAATAGTCAAATGAAAAAGGAGTTTCATGATGACACGTTCCATTGTATTGATTAACAATTCGGATAAAGATTAAGTTAAGGGTTTTGACATACCATAAACCTATACTTAATCGGGATTAGATGACAGAGCGATTGTACTACATAAGACGTACGATCGGGAAAAAAAGGTTCATTGGAGTTTAACTTCATTGCAGCTTAGGGGTTATGGAGTATTGCTAGATGCCTACCATGATCGGTGGGAGTTTCAATCATAAAAAGTTATGACGAAACATATCGGATTGTGATATTGAGCCCACAGCTAGGTTACAGTGAACTTAAGTGGTCACACCTAAAAACCAAGTATGAGAAGAGAAAGTAATACATATCGTTAAAGGTTAACGATGTTCAGATGTAAACGTGTGCATCCGAATTTATGTATTGGTGAGAAATGAATGGGTTAAATATTAAACGAGATTATTTTATATGTCTTGATTATAAATTTGTTTAAATCAAGGATTTAATGTTAAAGAGTTAATATTAAATTGAAATTGTTTCAAGGATTTATGATCAATAATGAGTTAATATTAAATTGAAATTATTTTAAAGACTTGAAAATAATATTGAATTTGTATTAAGTGTTAATATAGGATTCATTTTAATTCAAGGACTTGAGAACAATTTCAAAATATAGCAAAATGGTCTTTGTATATAAATAAGTGATATTCCTAAATTTAATCTAATTTTTCATTTGGAATGAACCTCTCTCTCTTGAGCTCTCATAGCCGGCTCTCTTTTCTTCATCTTGGGGTGAACTTTACTTTGAGGATTCTCATCAAATTTGTTAAAGATCTTGAACTCATTTTCAAGTTACAAGAGTTGTAAAGCATAAAAGGTAACAATATCACCCTTTTAGTTTCAATAACATGCCATATGACCTTATACCATGTTATACACCAATTTTACCCGTTCTAAGCATGAATTCTTACAAGAACCCCCCTAGTTTTTGGAGTACGTAATTGCACTTCAAAAACTTAGGTCTTTGATTTGAATGGGTCTCGCACTATAAACTGCAGTCTCGAACTGAAGAGCTCGAACTATGCTTAGCGTGATCGGGTGCTGAGAGCTAGGACTGCGATTTGAGAGCTTGGAGCGATCTGAAGCTAATCACGATCTGATAACTGACATAAAATGTCTAGTAGATGAATTCCTAGAGAGAGTTGAGCGTCAGAAGTCAAAACGCACGGTTCAGAGGTCTTAAACGAACATGTCAAATTAAAACAACCATAACTTTTGATCCGGGAAGAGTTTTGGAGTTACTAAGATATCCACGGAAAGCTCGTTTCGAGCTCTACGTTGTGGCAACAAGGAAACCTAGTTAGGGTTTTTTTTTAGGTGAAAATCCACCATTTTGGCATGTTTTAGGGTTGTTTGAGTTTTCGATGTATTTTTTTTTACGTTGACAACTGGTCGCGATCTGAGAACTAAGAACTGATCGCAATCTGAGAGCTGGGAACACGATTTGAGGTTGTTCGCAATCTCAAAGCTGATCGCGATTTGAGAACTAAGAGTTGATTGCGATCTAATAGGAGCTCGATCTGAGAGTTTAAGGCGTGAGATCTAATCGATGCGAAGTATGCAACCTCAAGATGAGGAACTTAATTTGGAGCGTGCGAGCTGAGAGCTTAAGGAGTTTGATATGTGCACGCAATCTAAGCAATCTGAAGTGCACGATCTGAACGAACTAATGCATGCGTCTCAAGCAAATAAGCGAGCTTATGAGCTCGATCAGAGAGCATAAATAGCTCAAGGAGTTTGATCAGAAAGCTCAAAGCTTGATCTGAGAACACAAGGAGTTCGATCAAAAAGCGCAAAACTTGATCTAAGAAAACAAGCAGTTCTATCAGAAAGCTTGAAGCTTGATCTGAGAACTCAAGGAGTTCGATTAGAAAGCGCGGAGCTTGATATGAGAACACAAGGAGTTCAATCAGAAAGTGCGAAGCTTGATCTGAGAACACAAGCAGTTCGATCAGAAAACGCGAAGCTTGATCTGAGAACACAAGGAATTCGATCAGAAAGCACGAAGCTTGATCGGAGAACATAAGGAGTTCTATCAGAAAGCGCAGAGCTTGATCTGAGAACACAGGGAGTTCGATCAAAAAGCACGGAGCTTGATATGAGAACTGAGATTAGCGATCTGAGCGCTCGGAAGCGTGATCTGGGTGCTCAGAAGCATGATCTGGCCACTCGGGAGCGTGATCTAAGTACTTAGAAGCATGATTTGGCTATTGGGAGCGCGATCTGAGTGCTTGAAAGGACAATCTGGTCACTCGGGAGCGTGATCTGAGTTTTTGGAAGCACGATTTGGTCGCTCGAGAGCACAATCTGAGTGCTCGGAAGCACAATCTAGTCACTCGAGAGTGCGATTTGAGTGCTCAAAAACACGATTTGGCCGCTCGGGAGCGCGATCTGAATGATTTGAATGTGTGATCTCAATGATCTTGAACGCGTGATCTCGATGATCTTAAACATGTGATTTCAACGATCTTGAACGTGTGATCTCAAGAACTTAGGAGCTAGTTAACTTGGGAGCTTGAGAGCTTGAGAGCTCAATCTGATCTGAGAGCTTGAGAGCTCAATCTGATCTGAGAGATCTGAGCTATCTAGCCATGCGATTTGAATATGAAGATCAGAGTGATCTAAGAGCACGATCTGAGAGCTTTGATACGTGCGATCTGAGCGATCTGGCTATCTAAGAGCTTTGATGTGCTTGATCTGAGAGCTCTGAGGCGTGCGATTTGGGCAATCCAAGAGCTTTGATACGTGCAATCTGGGTGATCCGAGAGCTCTGATGCGTGCGATTTGAGCGATCTTACCACGCGATGTGGAAGCTTTGATGCATACGATTTGGCCGATCTAGCCACGCGATCTGGGAGCTCTAATATGAAACATGCTTCAGTATTTTGAAGAAGTTGAGATTTGCTAGAAAAACATGGAGAGCTGATGCGAATCATGCCCCCTTTCTAGCGTCAAACTGTTGATGTGTGATTTTGACACAAACTACCTCGCACGTGTAAAGTACTAAACAGGTCTTAGAAATTATACGTGATATGATTATGAGAGTTGATTAAAGCTGAGATGATATATTTTTGTAAAAACATAAATAAAAGACTGACAATGGGGATTTTTATAGTGGTTCGAATGCTTAAAGCGAATCTTACATCCACCATTATTCTCTGACTATTTTTCTGATATTGCCTATAAAGTGTACAAAAATGGAGAAATATTTTGTTTGCAGAGAAAAAATAATAAATCTCAAATGTATGTCTAGCTCTCATATGCCCAGCCAGCCTCCTTTTCACGAAGAGAACTGACCATTTATAGTTTTATAAATCTTTGAGCTCAACGTAATAAGTGCTTTTATAAGTTGCCTTGACACATAGTGATCTCTCATTTATCTTGATCCTTTGTTTTGATAAAGGTGTGACAAGTGTTATATAATATCTCTTCGAGACGATTTGAGTTTTGACAACTAATACCCTTTGCCTTTAAGTGCTTGTCGAGCTCTGATTAGTGGTGCTGACATCAGTATGTATTTTGTGGCACAACACCAATAGTTATGGTATTTACCAATGTTGGAAGCGGGCCTGTGATAAATTTTGCACACGTTAACTTTTAACTAAGTTGATCAGGATTGAATTGAAATATTTACTTCCGTAAGTAAAATATTATTCACAAATCCTAAGCGACTATATCTACTATGAAGAGAACATCCTCCACTGATTGAGCTAGCCAGGTTCTGTACTGGTGCAGTGGTAGCCACGTAGCGCGGCTGCTGATATAATATGCTACACAAGATTCCATTCCAAAAGTGGCATTTGATAACGGATAGCTCATTGGCTATATCTGTTGCCCACATAATTTAGCATAAAAAACCCATGTGCTTGCGGCGGAAAGCTTGAAGGTAGTTGTGTTATCTGTAACCTAACTACCCAGCACTTTCTGAGTAAGTGCTAGGCTTCCTGCGAGCCACCCAACCCCGATGTCATCATCAATATCTTCTTCATAAATAGTAGGTAAACGGTGACAGAGATGGAGGCGAGATTATGGCAATGAAAAAGCTCCCAAAACAGTCAACTTCGGGGCCACTTGTCTTTTCATCAACTAGAATAGTTTCAGTTTTGTTACGTGTAAAAGTAAAATTAGAGAATCTCTTGGCATAAGCAAATCATCTACAACCATGGACCGCAGAAGAGCATACTGTCAATGTCAGTAAGACCGCCCCTCAAATACGCAATTGCAAGAATGATTTGCGTCTTTTACAAGTAATAACTTACCTGTGTAATGTCAAATAGCAAGATTTTGGTCAGAGCAAGTATTAATACTGGCTCTAAATTGAACAACCATACATGACATAAAAACCATAACGGCTATGTACAGTCTATCATCCTGCTAATGGGAGATTTCAACATCCATTAAACTTCATCTTCTTAACTTGCAAAATCAAATTCAAGGAGAAGATTAGTTGAAGCTATGCACATACAGTAGTGTCTAGGAATGAATTTTATAGTATTTGATTCTTTCCCAAGGGCATTAGAGTTATATGAGATGATCAGTTATGGAAGCAATATATTAGTGTACGAAGTTCTGCTGCCGTGTCAAGCCTGAAATTATGCGAGGTTCTGCTGTTGAGCACCAAAGATTATCACATGGCCAGCATAATGGACACAGACCATCGTTCAACATATTTCAGAAGTATGCATGCTCATCTAGATTATGAGAAAAAGCAAGTACTCACTCCTCATAAACAGTGGAATGTGTTGATAGGGCGAAAATAGGCATAAATAATTCTATTAATCAGCGAGTTAGAAGGTCAAACTGATTCTTTCATTCCAGTAGGTAATATGAATGTCTTACCAGATTATAAGAATGATCTTTGTTTAGAGGTTGACGTTCCATTGGTGACTCATATTTTAGTGCTACAGTGACAAAAACATGGGCGACCCCAGAAGCAATCTTATCAGCGGCTCAATCTATGAGAAACAGTGAGCAGAGCACCCAATTAATGTGAAAGGCAAGGCATGACACCAATAAAAACCTGAAAAGCATTCAAATTGACTTTTGGTAGGGACACGGTAGTCTGGCAACTTCTGTTCGGCATGTAGCAAAAATATAATGGGAAAGAAGTGTTTTGCCAACCTATCCTAACAAATGGCTGCTCAAACTCCCAACCTTGGTCTGAAGTTAACTCATGAAGAAACCCAATATGACTCTGGTTGCTGAACATATGAGAACAAGCCATAAAATCAATAATTCGATAATATGCAATAAGTAATAAAAAGTCATCAGGTCATATCCAAGAAGATAAAACACGTAAATGGAAGTTTCCTTGATGTCAACTGAACACATTAGATTCCTCTAGTAGTAGAGTGTATTAAATGCAAATCATCAACCGAGAACACCAGTAACAATCGGATCATAATTGAATGTTTTTCAAGAAAAGATGCGAATCACTCGATGGGCAAGGAGCATATCTTAGTAGGGAATCTTCAAGTCAGATTAAAGATCACTCAGCTACTTGCCTAAACACAACATCAGTGTATGAGCTTTTCTGCATGCTTGCATACGGTTTTTTTTCTTTTCTTTAAATAACAGATTGAGCAGAACATGATTGAAAGAGAGTCCACGCAGGCCATTTAAATCATAACAGCAACTAAAACCAAAATGCATAATGGACTTGTGGCATAACAATAAATCATGATGTTCTGAAAAACAATGAACTACAAACATAGAACATCTATTTATTGTCAGATCCAACCAATCATACCTAAATTTATTATGCAAGATGATACTGAGGCATCAAAAGCTGGAAAACAGAAAAAGAAAAAAAAACAATCAAACAATATCAAGTTCTCTCCGCAGGAGTTAGATGCTCCATCCGTTCTGCAAGACTATTTACATTTCTCATATTCCACCAAAATCTGCCATGATCAACAGGTTTGTTATCATTCTTCCTGCCATCTGAATCCCTTCTTTCTGACTGAACTTCCTGGATTTCAGTAGAACCAGGATTTTCTGTCAAAAACTGTTCCCAAAATACATCATTGACGCCAGTTGTGACAGCAGCAGCTGTCACAGCTGCTGGTTCCTTTGACACAGCAGGATCAGAAGCAGCTGCTACAACAGGCTTAGAGTTCATGTCAATTCCAGGAGATTTTGGCCGAACATCAACATTAAGCTGTATGCAAGATATGGCTGGACTATCTGCACTTGTAGATTCATCCAACTCCAGGCTTGAATTAAGTGGAAGAGCAGTTTCACCACCATCATGCACAATATTCTCCCAAAAGGTCAAGGAAGATTCCAAATGCTCAAAATGTTCTGTGTTTGATGACAAAGCACTAGTACTCTCAGCATTTTCTCTAGCTACAGTCTGGGAAGTCCCCAGCAAATTGTCTCCAATGTTGCCCTCATCGTAAAAGTAACCTATTCGTGGAAGTCTTCTCTTTCTATCATGAGTTTCCAACTGTGACCCAAGATTTGAGGCAACCCCTGGTTTCTGCAAGGCTCTAGCCACAGAAGACAACATCTTCTGCTGTCTCCGTTCCATACGCTGAAAACGCTCCTTCAAAAGCTGCATTTGCAATTCAAATCCTTGCCGCTCCTGCTCGTGCCTCTGTAGGTCCAAAATAAGCAATTCTTTATCATTTTTTAATCTCTCAATTTCTTCCTTTAAACTCTGTCTTTCCAATTCAGTTAACTGAGTTCCTTGGTTTTGTACATTCTGAAGAGAATGACTATGAACTGGCTTTCGTCTGTGGATATTCTTCATAAGATGTGGCTGACCTCTTACAAAATCCTCATTTGCAAATTCCCATTGCTCAGGATCAACTTTTCTGAAACCCTGTTGAAATGTAAAGTCAATATCACCATATGCATTAATCTACAATAATATTATATCAAATAAAATATACCAATTGAATGAAACAATATTGGCTTACATATGTATTGAGCTGTCTGATAAAACTTGAGAAGTTATTGTGCTTAAAGAATCTTGGTAGCAGATCCCTGGCAAACTCTGGTGGATTCCACACAACAAAGCTTTTGTTAGATGGACTCCAGGACACAACTGAATTTGTTGATGGATCGTCTACCATATCATATGTTTTTGCAAGGAAAGGAGGAAGTGAATTTGAACTGCCTTGAACATCATCCATTGCAAACCTTAAAATCTAATCAAATTCCCCAAATTCAACACCTGCAGCAAACTCTCAATTTGCTTGAATAGTTTCAGCACCAAAAGACAAAACTCAAATTATTTTTATAACCGAACTTCAATATCCACTTCAAGTTTCAATCTCAATGAAAAGCAAACCCTTCCATCATTGTTTCATTATAAAGTTGCTAAACTCCAATGAATTTTAAAAACACTAAATTCCTATAAACCCTTTACAACTCTTGAATCCACAACGGAAAAAACCTTTTACTCTCAGTAAATACCCAATCAGATTGCCCAATTTTCCTTGAGCTCTTTACAACTAAAATGACACTAACAAAATCAAGGAACAATTCAAATGGAAAGAACCCGAATTCCAAGCTCTACAATTAAGTGAACAGAAAACCCTTTTGACCTCACACCACACACAGCCAAACTTATCACCCAAGATTTGTCAAAGCTTCAAGAATCGTCAAATCCAAAGCAATTCCAAACCCAGATCAAAACCCACAAAATATATTCCAAGTGTCTAACCACAGTAGCAGTCAATCCCTGTATTTCCCAAAAATTCAATTTCAACTAAAATCCACCAAAAAAAAAAAAAAAAATACCAAAGCAAAAAAATGAATTCAAGGTGTCAGAGCTTTTACCAAACAGAAAGAGCAATCACGCTAGCATGGGGGTTCCGGTCCCCAAAACGATTCATTTAGTTGAACCCTGTATGAGAACTTTTGGGGATTCTGGTTCTAGAAACGCGTAGAGAGATTTTCTAGGGTTTTTTTAATACAATTTTTTTTTATTACAAAGTAAATTCATAACCATGTAATATGTATATATATATATATGTATATATAAACTTGTCCTTTTAGCAGTGTAATTCAATAAATAAAAGGGCATTGACTACCAGTACACGATAATGATATCACGCAGTTTTGCCTAGTTGTGTTCAAATCATTGGCTCCCTTCATATCTGTCTTTTCCCCTCCGATATTGATTTTTTTTCTTTTTTTGTAAGTTTTATTATATGCTCAGTTTGTCTTGAATTTGTGTGACGTGTGTGCTTATGTGGATTGTTACATGTCTTATTACTCTACACCCCCGAAGTTTTCAAGTGGAAGTCAGCGAATTCTCTAGGTGTTTCTAGAACCTTCCATGCTGCCCTCTAATTAATGATATTCATTTAATAATTGAATAATACTATACTAACAACTCTCTTTTACAAACTTTCTCTCATAATTATGACGTGACAACTCGTAATTTGTTAATTCATAACGGATCTTACATGAGTTTCACTAATTAATTGCGAGTTGTTACGTTAGGATTATAATAAAAATTTTTTAAGAAATTGTTGTTAGTGTAATATTACTTTTAATAAATATATAATTTTGTGATATATACTTATATAAAACGGTTTCATCTTTTTATCATGCTAAAATGTATAGATGGATTAGGAAGGACAAATAAGTAATTTAATATCATTTTATAAAAATAAAGAGTGGGATGATAATTAAATTAATATACATAAGAAAAAAAAATTTTCATTTTTTTGAGTTGAATCACTCGCCTCTACCTGCCCCTTAAGAGATCAATCAGCATTGACATGGTGAAAACTTTTCACTTAAAATGTTAATTTTTTTAACTACCAACCTTGGCAATGATTATTAAAATAATTACGAGTAGTAACACATCGTTAACTTTTAATTAAACGGCTTTATCTCATTAGAAAAATGATAAACTATCCCCATATAAGTGTTTTCTACACGGAGGTGTAGTAATTAATTTCTCAAAACTTATAGGAATTGGTGATTTTACGGTAAAGTATAGGGTGTTAAAATTTTCCTTTTTTTTTTTTTTTTTTTTTTAATTTTGGTTGTTTGTTTATTCTACATTCAAGGGACTTTCCTTAGCCCATTCGGCTTAGGGTCCGGTTGGGTGATAGAGTGGTATGCAAACAAGTTGTCTGGGTCAGCGTCACACTCACACGTTAACCATCTTTTAAGTCTTGATATGTGTTTTTTTTTTTGGTTCAAACAACGGTGAAAGTAAGAATGTTGTTTATATTTCGTTCAAGGCATCGCAAATTTCATGCCTTTTGATGTGAGATCTTGACATGCGTAATCATTTCATGATAGATTTATTTAATTGAATTTATCGTTTACGATACAACTTTTTATGAATCGATCAAATCTATCATTCCTGATGTTCGACGCAACTCTTTTTCACGTTTAAAACACTAAATCAATCTAATCACGTAAGTTTTTATTATTTTTATTTCAATCTTTCATAAGTTTTAAGTATAATTAGATTCTCGAACCTAATTTGATGAGTTTGAATATTCTTATTATCAACTTTAAACGAGATATTAATATAGTGAATCCGTCTAATTGATTTGACGTATATATTGTGATCCAATCAAAGTATACTACTCATATTTTAATTATTGGGTTAGAATCTAACTGTTTGAAATCAAAGTACTAAACAAAAATCAAATATAAATTATTTGATTAATGTGATTGGTGTATAGTTAAAATGGTTGACCTGACATTCGAATTTGAGCGTAAAATCTGTGGAATTAGAACATAATTAACGGAAGTGGACCAAAGCTTTGTTTGAATACAATTGGGAATTGGGCTGACCGAGTCTTGTTTACAGGGCTTTATGATTGTCGTGTTCCGGAAAATGAAAGCCCAAATGTGGAGCATATACTTGAGTTGGATATAAAGCCAAACAACAAGGCCAAAAAATTTGATACAAAATTTGAATTTTTAATAAAATATAATCCAATTTACTTGAAAAATAAGTTACAATTTTTAATTATTTTTAGTATTAACGTAAATTCTAAATCATAAATCAATGATCAAGAATTTATAGTATAAAAGTCTTAATTATTAAAAATATATTTTATTTTTACCTTCTCTATTTACTTGGGTTAATAAAATATATGGTGGAATTAAAATACATCTTTATAAAAAAATCTGATTTAAAATGTAAATTTCCATTATTTCTTTAAAAAAAATAAAAAAAAAGAGCCAACTACATTAAATAGTCAAGTGATTCGTTGACTGCATTTTTTAAAATGTTTTAAGTTTAAATTTTTTTTCATCTCGATTATTAGGGTAATAGTAACGTCTGAAAGATTTATCGAAGTTTGGATATCATAAATTAAAAATAAATAAATAAAAGAAGGTTGAAGTAATGTGAGTTGGATTTTGTTTTTAGTGAGAGTTGAGAATGAGGTGACTAAAAACAAAAGCTTGGAAAAGACAACACAACCAACCAGGCTTAGACCTTAAATCAGCGCTAGACTGCCTCGTGGGTGGCGGGCATATCGGCCATCACCTGACCCCACCAGTTTAACGGATATGATTAGATTTTCCTTACCCACTGGTCCCCACCATTTTCTACCAACTTGTCAAAACTCCCGCAATTCGTGCCACGTTAATTGGTTCTTATCTATTATAATAAAAATTGTATAATATGTGCCACATCACTGTGTTATTGCTTGCTACTAATGAACTCCATAGCCAGCTACCTAATAGGTAATAGCCTCATAAGGGTGGCCGAGGCGGACCCGACTCCACTAATTTCAATCCAATTTGTTCATTGCCAGTTGGAGTCCGCGGCGCACGTGCGGGACGTTGGACTTTGGAAAAAATGACCATCAGGATGGTGTGGGCCCCACGTTTACTTGAAGTGATAAACTACCTGACGGCTTGCGTTATAAGAATAAATTTTTTTATCTTAATATCGTATATTTAATTAAACTTTGGTTAATATCATTTTATATTTCAATTTTATAAATTCTCTTTCAAAATCTTAACATGATAACTAATAGTTAGTCAGCTTATAAATGATGTGTAACGTTAAGATTATGAGAAAAAATTTATAATATTAGATTGTTAACCCATCTTTATCTTTAAACTATTTTTATTTTTATTCACTTATGTAAGAAATAAAACATGTTTATAAACTATCTCTGAGTGATCGAATAGTTTGATATAAATATTTGAGTTCGAGTCTTTTTTATATACTAATAAAGATAATTATTAAAGTTTTGATGGACCTTTAGCTTCACATTCTTAAGGGATTAGTTAAAGTATTGACAATCTAGTGACAAAAAAAATAAAAAAATAAAAAATTATGTACATGGCGTCTGAAGTATAACTAAACTTTCTTTTATATAAACGCTATGTTGATAGTAGGCCAATACTTTATACAGCCATTCGGCCCACATCGAAATCAACCAGGGCTGTCTCATGTTCCTATAAATTATTTACATAGACTTATAATTTTATATTCTCAAGTACGTCCACCTAATGAGGTACACCACTCCTATCATATAGTCCTATGAATCTGCTTATCATATAATAATAATCATATTTATTAGTTCTTAATGAGCATTTAATTTCTTAAATAGCTTAATATGATAAGGGTGAGCAAAATGATAACGATGGACTATAATAAAAAAAAGTAATATTACATATATATTATTTTTATATAATATTATGTAATAAGATATAATTAATTAATTTAAAATTAAAATTAAATTTTTATTTAATTATATTTTATAATATAATATTATATAAAAAATATATTATAAAAACGATACATATAGTATTATTCTAATAAAAAATAGCAGTTTCGACAGAGTTCTCTGTGAAAGTGAAGAGGCTCGAAAGATGATCAATCACCAACAAGAGATGATCGGAGAAGGTGGCACATGTCAGATTGCCCCACACTTACCAACCACCAAACTCCTAACTGGCTATCTAATTATGCTACTAAGTAAAATAAGTCTCTCTTCTCGTTAGTCACGCTAAAGGAGCGAGTGGGCACTGGGTACTGTCACGTGAAGACTGCAGAGAGATAAGCCCTGACTCTCTCTCTCTCAGACCATCCATCCAACCAACAAACGCTATACATTTAGATACATCAATTGTAAAATCCACACTGACAACAGAGTGACGCCGTTTCACATCAAACAACTCCATTCACATCACGCCGCCGTGTGACGGCTCCCCACCAGCTGAATATATGGTAAAAAATTTTGCCTGGAAGGTCTTGGCTTTATCCCAAAATCCAAATGGACAAATCCAAATAAGATTTTAACAAATTATAATTAATAAATAAATTTATTAGTTTCCCATTATACCCCCTCTTTTCTTTTCTCTGTCATTTACACGACAAATGTTTTTCTGGGAACCAAAAAAAGCAGTCCAAATTAATACGACAAGAAACCAAACGCCACCGTTTACCTTTATTAAACTTTAGGTACCGCGAAGCCCACACTCTACAGTACACATCACAGGGACTTTATTTATTGAAAGCCTAAACACGTGTTAGTCCCGTGATCTCGGAATAAAGCATGAAAATGGCATCCTGGTAATTTCTTCACATTTCCATGTCCATTTACAATCACACTCTGTATTTAGTTCACCTTCTCCCCAAAACAACTTCATTTAACCACTCTGTCTCTTAAAAAAATACCGCCAATCAGTCCACTCCCTCTCCGATCATTTCCCCTTCTCATGAAACCAAGCTCATAAAGAGCGACGTCGTTTTCTCGACCGAAAGAAGTTCTGTAAAACATGACTTCGGGAACGAGAATGCCGACGTGGAAGGAGAGGGAGAACAACAAGAGACGAGAGCGGAGAAGACGAGCCATCGCCGCGAAGATCTACTCAGGCTTGAGAATGTACGGTAACTACAAGCTTCCTAAACACTGCGACAACAACGAGGTCTTGAAAGCTCTCTGTAATGAAGCCGGGTGGACCGTCGAAGAAGACGGCACCACTTACAGAAAGGTAATTTATTCATTATTAATTACTAGTTAATAATTATTATCAGGTTTAGTTAACTTTCATGTGGATCTAAAATTTGAAATCAGTTCTGGAAATTAATGGAAAATTTTGTTCGTTCAAAGTTCAAACTGACGTAGTGACGTGTGCCGGTCAGTTACACGGTGTATGTCAGATAACTTTGTGTGATGTTACTTGATCGACGGTTGAGATTGTTTTGGTTGCTTTGATAAAAAAAATATTATTTGGGCTGATAGCACGAAACACAAGATCGTAATATTCGCTCCCTGTTTTTGATTTTCTTATAACAACGGGATGAGGAGAGGGGCAGAGTTTTCAAATTACTTTTTTGTAAGACGATCATATCCATGTTTTGTCATCAGAACGATGTTCTTTTAAGGGGCAGTTTTGTCATTTTGATTTTTCAATCCCACCTTACTGGATTGAACTGCCACTTTGCTTTAATGCAAGCTCTGTTGTTTCTGTGCTCAATCTCTCTTTTTCCTCTTTTGTTGATTCTCGATTTTCAAGCGCTTTACATTTTATCGTGAAAACTTTTTCTTACATGTCATCATTTACTTTTATTTCCGAAATTGCCACTGCAAGGTCTAATCTCTCTTCATAATTGTGAGGTCATAGTGGTCATTTCGGAACATTTCTCGCGAGATTCCCGGGTTATTTTTTTCGTGAGCCGGTGGGTTTTGCTTTATTAATTGTTGAAAAGTTTTGTTGAAACTTTCATTAAATTTAATGAGAAAAGGAGATATCGAATCCTTGGATTCCACATTTTGTAATAATTTTTTAAATTAGACAGTAAAGCGTGTGGGATGTCTTTGATTAAGGCAGGAACATGTTGGGAGATAGCGTGTTATGAGGTGCATAATGCATTAATATAGTAACTTGTCGGGTCGAAATTACTACACTACCCATCATTATATTTGCAATTCGAATTTGAGTGGCCGATATGGTGGCTCTTGTTGTCTTGATTGTAGTTATGATAAGTCCAGTACACATTTATTCAATCCTGCATTCGTGTTAAACAGTTGAAATGGTTCATTCTGCATTGATGGTGTCTTTGAAAATTATGGATCAATAAAGATTTTATTGGTTAAAACCTTTGCATTGTGTATTGATTAATATATGTGGTGGGGTCTAGGAGGAAATGGAGATAACTATATTAGTAGATAATGTTGTCATTTTCTTGGATATAATGAAGTTGTGCCATTTAAGACTTTGTTATGAAGGCCACCATTGACTATAGGAGCTGTTTATTATTATGAAATAGGTCTTTGAACTAAATATTGAATTGAATAGAAAGGGACAACTTAAATTAAGATGATTGGTCTTTCTTTCTAGCAGTTGAATTGTGTCCACACAAAATTATCAAATTAATGTGACATCAGTATGTTTAGGTAGTTATATGAGTAGATATTAGGTTCAGAATTACGTGTCAACCTTTGTAGTTCATTCAATAAAATGTGCTTTCAATTATTGATATTGACAATTGGCTCAAAGCTTCATACAAGTACCACAATCTCAGTGAGTAATTTAACTTTCGACCTTTTATGGCCCATGATCACGTCAAATTTTGCTTGGAAGGATATGATAAAGTAGGAAGTGTCTATTTGGACAATAGTGCATTTGATAATTATCAATTTTTTCTTTTTGCTATGAGAATAAATCTTTTTTGAGATGGAATGCATATGATAATAGTAAAGTTGTTTGAATAATTTTGCTCTGCTCATTAATGTTCCTTTTTATGCCTTTTTGTAGGGTTGCAGACCTGTAGAACGCATGGACATTATTGGAGGGTCTGCATCAGCTAGTCCATGCTCATCATATCAGCCAAGTCCATGTGCATCCTACAATCCAAGTCCTGCCTCATCTTCCTTCCCTAGTCCACGTGCATCTCATTATGCTGCCAATACAAATGGTGGTGCTGATGCCAATTCCCTCATACCATGGCTCAAAAACCTCTCTTCTAGCTCATCATCAACTTCATCTAAACACCCCCACCATCTCTATAATCCTGGGGGTTCCATAAGTGCTCCAGTGACGCCTCCATTGAGCTCCCCAACTGCCCGAACTCCTCGAACAAAAAATGACTGGGATGACCCTGCTGCCGGCTCAGCCTGGCCCGGGCAGCATTATTCTTACATGCCATCATCAACCCCACCAAGTCCTGGCCGTCAAGTCCTGCCTGATTCAGGATGGCTTGCAGGAATTCAAATTCCCCAAAGTGGTCCATCATCTCCTACATTCAGCCTTGTCGCACGAAATCCATTTGGTTTTAGAGAGGAGGTTTTTTCAGGTGGACCGTCACGGATGTGGACTCCTGGACAAAGTGGAACCTGCTCTCCTGCAGTTCCTGCTGGTGTTGATCAAACAGCAGATGTTCCAATGACAGATGGGATTGCAGCTGAGTTTGCATTTGGCTGTAATGCAACGGGTTTGGTGAAGCCTTGGGAAGGAGAAAGGATCCATGAGGAATGTGTATCTGATGATCTTGAACTTACACTGGGAAACTCTAGAACCAGGTAAATTCAAATGCATTTGTTGCTGTATGGATTCAGCATATTATATACATCCTTCGATTCATTCTGGCTTTGTTTACCTATGTGTCTGCTTTGCTATTGCAGATAAAGAATATTTGTATAAGAGGTATGGGGGAATTGTCCAGTGTCTTGATTTGGCTTCGTCATTCCTTGTGCAAAATTCAACTTCAAATTATCTAGTATTTTCAGTTGGCAAGGCAGCTGATATAGAAGTACAGTAAGTAGGAGTATCTTGCTCTTTTCTTTTCTTTTTTTTTTTTCTTTTTTTCCTAACAAAAATGAAAAAAAAAAGGACAAAAAGTTAAAATTATAAATAGATTATGGTGGTGACTTGGCTCCCTTGGTTCAATTCATTCTTATGTTCCTTATTTCCTTCATCAAATTTTCCCAAATAGAATTTCCCATTGCAGCATTTATACACTGGTTTTGTTTTTTTTGGTGTGATTTCTGGTTTGTGATTAAAAGGGTGTTGGGTTGTCAAAGATTAGATGATTGTTTTGAAGCTACAATCACATTTGTGCACGTGTATGAGTACTTCTATTTTATGGTCGCATGTTGATTTATTCCTAGCCAATTATTGTTTCATTCCATGCCTTTTTTCCATCACTCCATTTTACATAATCAGCCAGTACAAATCAAAATAAAAACAATAATCTAGAGTGTATATGCCAGATGAAAATTATGCAACATTCTTGGATCGATATTTCTTATGTATTCAATTTATGTTGTTGTGGTTTTGGCAGCACATTTGAGGTGTTCCAGCCAGTGAAAATTTGAATGTTGAATAATAATTAGAACGAAGATGAATTATGGTATGACTATTGCATTGCATGCCAGATCTCTGTGACTTTATGATAATTGATAATATTTGGATTAGGAAAGGATCATGGCCATGTTGTTGGATAATTATTATGGTCATTGTTGAGATTGTTTTTGCGTAAATAGTATCTGTAGATACAGGTGATGAATGATGTTAAATTAGTGTTTGCTTTCTAGGTCTTTTGTTTTCGACTACCAGAGAAGAATATATGAAAAATTAAGGAAAACAAATTCGGGAAGAGTGTACATGTTATTGCTAAACGAAACATTGTATTATCGAGTCAATTCATGTTACTATTGGGGATTGACGTTAGACGCCATTTCGACAGAGTTCTCTGTGAAAGTGAAGAGGCTCGAAAGATGATCAATCACCAACAAGAGATGATCGGAGAAGGTGGCACATGTCAGATTGCCCCACATTTACCAACCACCAAACTCCTAACTGGCTATCCAATTATGCTACTAAGTAAAATAAGTCTCTCTTCTCGTTAGTCACGCTAAAGCAGCGAGTGGGCAGTGGGTACTGTCACGTGAAGACTGCAGAGAGAGAAGCCCTGACTCTCTCTCTCTCAGACCATCCGTCCAACCAACAAACGCTATACATTTAGATACATCAATTGTAAAATCCACACTGACAACAGAGTGACGCCGTTTCACATCAAACAACTCCATTCACATCACGCCGCCGTGTGACGGCTCCCCACCGGCTGAATATATGGTAAAAAATTTTGCCTGGAAGGCCTTGGCTTTATCCCAAAATCCAAATGGACAAATCCAAATAAGATTTTAACAAATTATAATTAATAAATAAATTTATTAGTTTCCCATTATACCCCCTCTTTTCTTTTCTCTGTCATTTACACGACAAATGTTTTTCTGGGAACCAAAAAAAGCAGTCCAAATTAATACGACAAGAAACCAAACGCCACCGTTTACCTTTATTAAACTTTAGGTACCGCGAAGCCCACACTCTACAGTACACATCACAGGGACTTTATTTATTGAAAGCCTAAACACGTGTTAGTCCCGTGATCTCGGAATAAAGCATGAAAATGGCATCCTGGTAATTTCTTCACATTTCCATGTCCATTTACAATCACACTCTGTATTTAGTTCACCTTCTCCCCAAAACAACTTCATTTAACCACTCTGTCTCTTAAAAAAATACCGCCAATCAGTCCACTCCCTCTCCGATCATTTCCCCTTCTCATGAAACCAAGCTCATAAAGAGCGACGTCGTTTTCTCGACCGAAAGAAGTTCTGTAAAACATGACTTCGGGAACGAGAATGCCGACGTGGAAGGAGAGGGAGAACAACAAGAGACGAGAGCGGAGAAGACGAGCCATCGCCGCGAAGATCTACTCAGGCTTGAGAATGTACGGTAACTACAAGCTTCCTAAACACTGCGACAACAACGAGGTCTTGAAAGCTCTCTGTAATGAAGCCGGGTGGACCGTCGAAGAAGACGGCACCACTTACAGAAAGGTAATTTATTCATTATTAATTACTAGTTAATAATTATTATCAGGTTTAGTTAACTTTCATGTGGATCTAAAATTTGAAATCAGTTCTGGAAATTAATGGAAAATTTTGTTCGTTCAAAGTTCAAACTGACGTAGTGACGTGTGCCGGTCAGTTACACGGTGTATGTCAGATAACTTTGTGTGATGTTACTTGATCGACGGTTGAGATTGTTTTGGTTGCTTTGATAAAAAAAATATTATTTGGGCTGATAGCACGAAACACAAGATCGTAATATTCGCTCCCTGTTTTTGATTTTCTTATAACAACGGGATGAGGAGAGGGGCAGAGTTTTCAAATTACTTTTTTGTAAGACGATCATATCCATGTTTTGTCATCAGAACGATGTTCTTTTAAGGGGCAGTTTTGTCATTTTGATTTTTCAATCCCACCTTACTGGATTGAACTGCCACTTTGCTTTAATGCAAGCTCTGTTGTTTCTGTGCTCAATCTCTCTTTTTCCTCTTTTGTTGATTCTCGATTTTCAAGCGCTTTACATTTTATCGTGAAAACTTTTTCTTACATGTCATCATTTACTTTTATTTCCGAAATTGCCACTGCAAGGTCTAATCTCTCTTCATAATTGTGAGGTCATAGTGGTCATTTCGGAACATTTCTCGCGAGATTCCCGGGTTATTTTTTTCGTGAGCCGGTGGGTTTTGCTTTATTAATTGTTGAAAAGTTTTGTTGAAACTTTCATTAAATTTAATGAGAAAAGGAGATATCGAATCCTTGGATTCCACATTTTGTAATAATTTTTTAAATTAGACAGTAAAGCGTGTGGGATGTCTTTGATTAAGGCAGGAACATGTTGGGAGATAGCGTGTTATGAGGTGCATAATGCATTAATATAGTAACTTGTCGGGTCGAAATTACTACACTACCCATCATTATATTTGCAATTCGAATTTGAGTGGCCGATATGGTGGCTCTTGTTGTCTTGATTGTAGTTATGATAAGTCCAGTACACATTTATTCAATCCTGCATTCGTGTTAAACAGTTGAAATGGTTCATTCTGCATTGATGGTGTCTTTGAAAATTATGGATCAATAAAGATTTTATTGGTTAAAACCTTTGCATTGTGTATTGATTAATATATGTGGTGGGGTCTAGGAGGAAATGGAGATAACTATATTAGTAGATAATGTTGTCATTTTCTTGGATATAATGAAGTTGTGCCATTTAAGACTTTGTTATGAAGGCCACCATTGACTATAGGAGCTGTTTATTATTATGAAATAGGTCTTTGAACTAAATATTGAATTGAATAGAAAGGGACAACTTAAATTAAGATGATTGGTCTTTCTTTCTAGCAGTTGAATTGTGTCCACACAAAATTATCAAATTAATGTGACATCAGTATGTTTAGGTAGTTATATGAGTAGATATTAGGTTCAGAATTACGTGTCAACCTTTGTAGTTCATTCAATAAAATGTGCTTTCAATTATTGATATTGACAATTGGCTCAAAGCTTCATACAAGTACCACAATCTCAGTGAGTAATTTAACTTTCGACCTTTTATGGCCCATGATCACGTCAAATTTTGCTTGGAAGGATATGATAAAGTAGGAAGTGTCTATTTGGACAATAGTGCATTTGATAATTATCAATTTTTTCTTTTTGCTATGAGAATAAATCTTTTTTGAGATGGAATGCATATGATAATAGTAAAGTTGTTTGAATAATTTTGCTCTGCTCATTAATGTTCCTTTTTATGCCTTTTTGTAGGGTTGCAGACCTGTAGAACGCATGGACATTATTGGAGGGTCTGCATCAGCTAGTCCATGCTCATCATATCAGCCAAGTCCATGTGCATCCTACAATCCAAGTCCTGCCTCATCTTCCTTCCCTAGTCCACGTGCATCTCATTATGCTGCCAATACAAATGGTGGTGCTGATGCCAATTCCCTCATACCATGGCTCAAAAACCTCTCTTCTAGCTCATCATCAACTTCATCTAAACACCCCCACCATCTCTATAATCCTGGGGGTTCCATAAGTGCTCCAGTGACGCCTCCATTGAGCTCCCCAACTGCCCGAACTCCTCGAACAAAAAATGACTGGGATGACCCTGCTGCCGGCTCAGCCTGGCCCGGGCAGCATTATTCTTACATGCCATCATCAACCCCACCAAGTCCTGGCCGTCAAGTCCTGCCTGATTCAGGATGGCTTGCAGGAATTCAAATTCCCCAAAGTGGTCCATCATCTCCTACATTCAGCCTTGTCGCACGAAATCCATTTGGTTTTAGAGAGGAGGTTTTTTCAGGTGGACCGTCACGGATGTGGACTCCTGGACAAAGTGGAACCTGCTCTCCTGCAGTTCCTGCTGGTGTTGATCAAACAGCAGATGTTCCAATGACAGATGGGATTGCAGCTGAGTTTGCATTTGGCTGTAATGCAACGGGTTTGGTGAAGCCTTGGGAAGGAGAAAGGATCCATGAGGAATGTGTATCTGATGATCTTGAACTTACACTGGGAAACTCTAGAACCAGGTAAATTCAAATGCATTTGTTGCTGTATGGATTCAGCATATTATATACATCCTTCGATTCATTCTGGCTTTGTTTACCTATGTGTCTGCTTTGCTATTGCAGATAAAGAATATTTGTATAAGAGGTATGGGGGAATTGTCCAGTGTCTTGATTTGGCTTCGTCATTCCTTGTGCAAAATTCAACTTCAAATTATCTAGTATTTTCAGTTGGCAAGGCAGCTGATATAGAAGTACAGTAAGTAGGAGTATCTTGCTCTTTTCTTTTCTTTTTTTTTTTTCTTTTTTTCCTAACAAAAATGAAAAAAAAAAGGACAAAAAGTTAAAATTATAAATAGATTATGGTGGTGACTTGGCTCCCTTGGTTCAATTCATTCTTATGTTCCTTATTTCCTTCATCAAATTTTCCCAAATAGAATTTCCCATTGCAGCATTTATACACTGGTTTTGTTTTTTTTGGTGTGATTTCTGGTTTGTGATTAAAAGGGTGTTGGGTTGTCAAAGATTAGATGATTGTTTTGAAGCTACAATCACATTTGTGCACGTGTATGAGTACTTCTATTTTATGGTCGCATGTTGATTTATTCCTAGCCAATTATTGTTTCATTCCATGCCTTTTTTCCATCACTCCATTTTACATAATCAGCCAGTACAAATCAAAATAAAAACAATAATCTAGAGTGTATATGCCAGATGAAAATTATGCAACATTCTTGGATCGATATTTCTTATGTATTCAATTTATGTTGTTGTGGTTTTGGCAGCACATTTGAGGTGTTCCAGCCAGTGAAAATTTGAATGTTGAATAATAATTAGAACGAAGATGAATTATGGTATGACTATTGCATTGCATGCCAGATCTCTGTGACTTTATGATAATTGATAATATTTGGATTAGGAAAGGATCATGGCCATGTTGTTGGATAATTATTATGGTCATTGTTGAGATTGTTTTTGCGTAAATAGTATCTGTAGATACAGGTGATGAATGATGTTAAATTAGTGTTTGCTTTCTAGGTCTTTTGTTTTCGACTACCAGAGAAGAATATATGAAAAATTAAGGAAAACAAATTCGGGAAGAATGTACATGTTATTGCTAAACGAAACATTGTATTATCGAGTCAATTCATGTTACTATTGGGGATTGACGTTAGACGCCATTCAATGTAATAGGTGATGATGGCCATTTTTGTCATGGGAAGTCCAATTGCATAATCAAAGTTCAATCTCGCAATTAAGGCTCTAATTAATGTACAAGACTACTACTCAAAATTCAAAATTAAATTTTGGGCCCAAGTCACCACTTTTTTTATTTCCAAAAAAAGCTCGACATTTTCCAAATGTAAGTCCAAGGCATCATCAAAACTAGGGGTGGGCAAAATTTTAGGGTAGAATCGGAACCAACGGGAACCTATTGACCATAACATGGTAGGTTTAGATTCCAAAAAATTAAAACTGATATTATGCGGTTCTGGTTCCAAATCAAAGGAAAAGGAACCGAAATCGGGACTAAATTGATATAATATTAAAGAATATGGGGTTTTTAATATTTTGCATATGGGGTTTTTTTATATTTTGCATATCTTATAAATATATTAGAAAATTTTTGTTTTTTTAATCTTAGTATCAAAATTCTTATTAATTTTCATTAAAACTATCAGTTTTTCGAAATATTCTTATTAATATTTAAGTTTCACTTATTATTTGATTAAGAAATTAATATAAATTAAGACATTTATGTTAAATAATAGCTTTTAAATGTTTATTATCTGTGAAAACAAACAATTAAATACTTATAATCAAACATCAAGTAAATATAAATAAATATATTATTTAATGTTTTGCATTTAATTGTTAGGGATGTCATTGTAATTTTATAAGGGTTGATTTGTCATTTTTTAAAAATAAGGGGGTAATTAATATTTTCTAGGGTACCCGGAATCGGAATGGGAACCTGTAACACAAGTTCTGGTTCTAAGTTTTTAGGAACTAGTATCGACAGTTCCGATTCCGATTCCAAATCAAAGGAATCGGCTAGTTTCGGTTCCTTTGATTTTGGACGGGTGCTTGGACCCGCCCACCGCTAATCAAAACAATAAGTCTTTAGTATTAGATGACATGTAAGTCCAAGATATTTTGACATTCTTTGACATAACGACATGTTCCCACCTGAGGTTTAGCGAAATCCTAACTTCATACCCCTGGTTGTATTTATTCCAGATTCACACCCTTAAACTAACACCGTTAATTAATTTTGAATTATGACTTGTGTTATTACTATCTTACCCCTTCACTTTTTATTTCCCCCACACAACCACCATCACCTTCCAGTCGCCACCACTACCAAGATATTTTGACATTCTTTGACATAACGAGATGTACCCACCCGAGATTTAGGGAAACCCTGACTTCATACCTTGCCTGTATTTATTCCACATTCACACCCTTAAACTAACAGCGTTAATTAATTTTGAATTCTAACTTGTGTTATTACCATCCTAGCCCTTCATTTTTTATTTCCCCCACACAGCCACCACCACCAAGCCACTAGCGTTTTCAGCCTTGTTCAGGCTGGTTTTTCACCCAAAATCACCTCCAACCTTTTTCTCGTAACCTTTACACCAAAACCCACTAAACCCCTTCTTCGTTGCACCCTCCCATCGCCAGAAAATGACCTCCTTGTCATTTGCGTTTTCTCCTAACTTTGCGGCCAGATTCCGATTGATTCCCTCATTGAAAATTCACCTCGAAGCCACCAATCGAATCCCCTTCATCACCTCTACAAAACCCACCTTCTCATCGGCCATCATCACTCGCCGTTTGCTACCCAAGTTCAATTCCCATCACCGTGCGACAACTTTTTTTGCACCGTTTTTTCTGCCTTTTTGACTCCCGATCCTTCTCTTTGTTGCTTTATTGTGGGTGTTGTGCATTCTTTGGCCACTGGTTATCATCCACCAGCCCAAAATTTCCTTTCAAAGTCACGCCCACCAGCTGTTTGAGGAAATTCCTCAACCAACTGCCCAGCCAAGCATAGGTTGCTTTTCGGCCATGGGAAGATGCAACGGTGAAGGGGTTTGGTGGGTGTTGGTGTAGGGGTTACAAGGGAGAGGTTGGAGGTGATTTTGGGTGAAAAACCAGCGAGAACAAGGTTGAAAACGCCGATAACTTGGTAGTGGCAGTGGCTGGTGAAGGTGGTTGTTTTGGAGGAAATAAAAAGTGGAGGGTAGGATGATAATTGCACATGTTAGAATTCAAAATTAATTAACAATGTTAGCTCAAGAGTGTGAATTTGGAATAAATGTAACTAGAGGTATAAACTCGAGATTTCGCTAAACCTTGGGTAGGAACATGTCGTTTGCTCTATAAGCCTAATGCGATTTTAAAAGCCCTAGGTATTGTAAACCCAAAGCACTTTGACATTCTCTCACATGCAAGCCCAATAAAATTGAAAAAGGCCCTAACATTTCCTGACATGTAAACCTAAGTCTTTGACATGTAAGTCTAATGTCACTCTCATAGATAAACATATGACACTTGTTGCTAAAAAGCCCATTAAAAGATGGTACTGATTGTCTTGTAAAAGCCCATCAAACAATGACACTGCCGCTAAAAGCTCATCATATGATAACATTGTTCATAAACGCCTATCAAGAGATGGCACACGAGAGCACTATTGCTAAAGCCCATCAAGAAATGGTAGTTTTCTATTTTAGGTTCAATTTGACCCAATGAGTCAGATAAGGCCCTTATGTGACACAAGGCCCAAGCCTACCTCAAAGCAAAATCCCGAACAACAAACATAAACAAAGAGTAACTACTCTTTTCTCTTTCCGAAGGCTAATGGTAATGGACTCAAACCACTCAATGGGGCAATTTTGTGGGTTATAGTGTGGCGGTATTTAGAGCATCTTATTGAGTCAAGATGTTTCTTTGAATTAGGTTCGCTTGGAGGGTATCTAATTGAACTTGGATCAATAGATATGAAAGCTCGATTTTTAAAAACCCAAAGGAAAATAATTTTAAAATCCAAAAATCTCCCAAAAATCATAAAACATATATTTACTGATCTAGGTAGCAAAATGACGGTTTTAGCGTCTGGAGGGCAAAGTCTCTAAATTACCAAAATACCCATGAACACGTTTCAACTTCAACCTCTTAGAATTCCCTTTTTTTTTTTTTTTTTTGTCGCAATTAAGGCTCTAATTAATGTACGAAACTACTACTCAAAATTCAAAATTAAATTTTGGGCCCAAGTCACCACTTTTTTTTATTCCCAAATAAAGCTCGACATTTTCCAAATATAAGTCCAAGGCATCATTAAAACTAGGGGTGGGCAAAATTTTAGGATAGAATCGGAATCAACGGGTACCCGGGTGTTGGTTTCGGTTCCTATCCGGAATTGGCCATAATAGGGTAGATTTAGGTTTCAAAAAATTGGAACCGATACTGTGTGATTCCGGTTTCGGTTCCAAATCAAAGGAAAAGGAACCGACATTGGGACTAAATTAATATAATATTAAAGAATATGAGGCTTTTAAACATTTTGCATATGTGGTTTTTTTTTATATTCTGCATATCATATAAATATATAAAAAAAAAATTGGTTCTTTTAATCTTAGAATCAAAATTCTTATTAATTTTCATTAAAATATCAGTTTTTCAAAACATTCTTATTAATATTTAAGTTTCACTTATTACTTAATTAAGAAATTAATATACATTAAGACATTTCTATTAAATAATAGTTTTTAAATGGTTATTATCGATGAAAAAAAACAATTAAATATTTATAATCAAGCATCAAACATAAGGTAAATATAAACAAATATATTATTTAATGTTTTGCGCTTAATTATTAGGGGTGTAATTATTATTTTATAAGGGTTTATTTATCATTTTTTTTAAAATAGAGGGCTAATTGATATTTTTTAGGGTACCCAAAATCGGTTCTAAGTTTTTAGGAACCAGTACTGACAGTTTTGGTTTCAGTTTCTTTGATTTTGGGACCTGCCCATCCCTAATCAAAACAATAAGTCTTTAGTATTAGATGACATGTAAGTCCAAGATATTTTGACATTCTTTGACATATAAGTCCAGAGCAAACGACATGTTCCCACCCGAGGTTTAGCGAAATCCCGACTTCATACCCCCTGGTTGTATTTATCCCAAATTCACACCCTTAAACTAACACCATTAATTAATTTTGAATTCTGACTTGTGTTATTACCTTCCTACCCCTTCACTTTTTATTTCCCCCACACAGCCACCATCACTTTCCAGTCGGCACCACCATTAAGTTGTTGGCGTTTTCAGCCTTGTTGTAACTAGTTTTTCACCCAAAATCACCTCCAACGTCTTTCTCGTAACCTCTACACCAAAACCCACCAAACCCCTTCTCTGTTGCACCCTCCCATCGTCGGAAAACAGCCTCCTTGGCGTTTACGATTTCTTCAAACTTTGCGGCCAAATTTCGGCAGATTCCCTCATTGAAAATTCACCCCGAAGCCACCAATCGAATCCCCTTCATTGCCTCTACAAAACCCACCTCCTCATCGGCCATCATCACTCGCCGTTTACTACCCAAGTTCAATTCCCATCGCCGTGCGATAACTTTTTTTGCACCTTTTTTTCTGCCTTTTTGACACCCAATCCTCCTCTTTGTTGATTTGTTGTGGTTGTTGTGCATTCTTTGGCTACCAGTTATCATCCACCAGCCCAAAATCTCCATTCAAAGTCACGCCCACTAGCTGTTTGAGGAAATTCCTCAACCAGCTACCCAACCAAACACAGGCTGCTTCCTAGCGATGGGAAGATGCAATAGTGAAGGGGTTTGGTGGGTTTTGGTGTAGGGTTACAAGGAAGAGGTTGGAAGTGATTTTGCGTGAAAAACCAGCTAGAACAAGGTTGAAAACGCCGACGGCTGGTAATTGCACATGTCAGAATTCAAAATTAATTAACAGTGTTAGTTCAAGGGTGTGAATTTGAAATAAATGCAACCAAAGGTATGAACTGGAATTTCGCTAAACCTTGGGTGAGAACATGTTGTTTGCTCTATAAGCCTAATGTGATTCTAAAAGCCCTCGGTATTGTAAACCCAAAGCACTTTGACATTCTCTCACATGTAAGCCCAATAAAATTGAAAAAGCCCTTAACATTCTCTAACATATAAACCTAAGACACTTTAGCATTCTCTGACATGTAAGTCCAATACGATTCTTCCATACAAGCCTATGTCACTCTCATAGACAAAACCTACACACTCGCTACTAAAAGCCCATTAAAAGATGGTATAGATTGTCTCGTAAAAGCCCATCAAACGATGACACTGCTGCTAAAAGCTCATCATACGATCGCATTGTTCATAAACGCCCATCAAGAAATGGTAGTTTTGTATTTTAGGTTCAATTTGATCCAATGAGTCAGATAAGGCCCTTATGTGACACGAGGCCCAAGCCTACCTCAAGGCAAAATCTGGTACACTCCACGGTTCAATGGCCTACAACCGAACAACAACATAAATAAAGAGTAACCACTCTTTTCTCTTTCCGAAGGGTAATGGACTCAAACCACTTCAATAGGGCAATTTTGTGGGTTATAGTGTGGCGGTATTTAGAGCATCTTATTGAGTCAAGATGTTTCTTTGAATTAGGCCTGCTCGGAGGGTATCTAATTGAACTTCTTGGATAAATAGATATGAAAGCTCCATTTTTAAAAACCCAAAGGAAAAATAATTTTAAAATCCCAAAAAATCATATTAGTCCTAAAACATTAATATTTACTAATCTGGGTAGCAAAATGACGGTTTTAGCGTCAGGAGGGCAAAGTCCCTAAATTACCAAAATACCCATGGACACGTTCCAACTTTCAACCTCTTAGAAAGTTTTTTTTTTTTCCTTCAGTTTTCCCATTTTCCCATATGGTGAAATATCTGCGTAGCCATATGTTCAAATTTCATATTTTTATCATGCGAAATTCATATTTTATTTTTTTACGAATTTTGCAAAATTCTCTCTTTTATGACATTTGAGCGTTATTCAAAGTTCCAATTTTCTCTGTGTTACACTGACATTAGCACCACCAATCATAATGAGTTGTCAATCTCATCAATTAAAGTTTAATAAGAGTTAAATGACAAAATAACCTTTATCGGCAAAACTAAATCGACCTAATAGCATTTATATCAATCCTATCTTATTTTAAAATAAAGATTAAAAAGTGGTTCTCACGTGTTAAGACAACTTGCAAATACACTCATTACATTGATCTCAAAGGTATAAATGAGTATCTCTTTTCATGAAAAATGAGAGGTTGGATATATATAAGTTGACATACGTTTGAGTTTCATTATTTTTCTTTGTAAACAAAGCATTACTCAATCTTTGGACGCCTTAAAGGCGATATCAGAAAAATAGTTAGAGAATAATAAAATCACAGTGGTTGTAGGATTTGTTTTAAGAATTCGAACCACTATAAAAATCCATTTTGTTAATATTTTATTTATGTTTTTTCAAACATATATAATCTCAGTTCTATAACCAAATCTCATAATCGTTTCATGTGTAATTTTTAAGATTCTTTTAATACTTTACACGTATAAGATCGTTGACGTCAAAATTAAGCATCAACGCTATGCATCAATTGAACTATTCAAACACCACATCTTAAACACTACAACCACAAAACCAACCTCCAAGTACCATACAAATCACCATAAATAGATATATTTTACTACTTTTTTAAGTATCATAATACAGTTGCTTCACCAGGTTATTCTTTGCTACCTTTTTTCACTTTTTTTGGGGGAATTTTTTGTCTCTATATTCATAAACCCTTTGGACAGTTTTTCCATGTTAGAATACATATTTTAACGCCCAAAATCGAGGTCAAAAGGCAAAACCCACAAACCCAACAAATTTCTGGTAAGCTATCTAACATGATCTAAATCAGACCAAAATACTGTTTTTTTATAACTATTCTGTATTTTCAAAGTGTGATTTTTCTATTGAATTTTTGGCCTCGATTTTATAATTCTAATCACCTAGAATGTTTTTTAAATCATGCATATACTTTCACTAACTAGTTGGATATTTGACTCTTACATTTAGGGATGACAAAGCTACAATGGAACGCTTCTTAGAGTGGGGTTTTGTAAGGAGATCGATCGCATGTTGGTTCATCGATATTAGAAAGTGTGATCAAAGTTCAAGAAGAAGGGATGCAACGATTACCATTGAATAATACTACACTTACAAAGAAATTTTACAAAGACCTCCATACAAAGTGATGTGACAAAAAATGAATAGAAGAGTGAATTTAATGAGTTTGACTTTTTATTTTACTCTTCTATTTATATTTTGCTACATCACTTTGTATGAAAATCTTTGTAAGTATAATATTATTAATCACCATTAGGCCCAAACCAATAGGAGACCCTTTGTGATTTATTACCCATTTTCGTCTTATTTTTCTAATTTTTTATTAATTTTCAGAAATACAAAAAGGCCACTAACAATAATAGGCATTTATAAAGAATGAGAACCACATTGCTTTATAATAAACCAATTTTATGAGGACACGCTATACACTTGAACATCAGCTATTTACAAGCCCAACAAATCGTGGCTAAAGAACTATCATATACATAGACGCTTTGACCACATAAGGTCTCATGCTCCATGGACTGCTTTTTCGTTATATACTAGTAAATAATTTCAGTCTGACTCTAAACTAATCATCTCTGAAACTTCTGATATAGATCTTCAAGTGCCGGATAAAGAATAGCAGCAGCAGGTGGCATGGGCATTGAGCCCAGGAGTATATCTGATGCAGTGATGGATTGACTGCCGTAAAACCGGGAATTCTCTCGTGTGCGAGTGGTGAAAATACTTCCTTCCAGCGAACATCCAACAAATGCACCTGCACATTTAAGTATAAAACAAATTAAAAATGGAAAAAAATGTGAATCAAACTTGAGAGGTGCAGCAGACACAGGCTAACTTCTGCCATCTTGTATCAAGTGATAACATGAGAAGCTTGCATCTCTGCATCTCACAGTACTACTATTTGAGGCAAGAAATATTTCTTACTATAAAAGTTTTCAGGATCAATATTAAACAAATTTGAACCTTCCCTACACAATCCCCATGGCTCCCCTAAAAAGAGAGCTTGACATTGCATTGACCAGTAGACCATTGACTCCTAAGAAGATATTTAACAAATTACTTTCACTATTTGGCATCTCGGCAACTTTGTCTATCGTGGATATTTGTTTATAATCTCGTTCTTATTCAGATCAGAATCCATAACTTCCATCAACCGTTGAGACTAGTGCACATAAAAGAATATGACTTGAAAAAATAAAAAAGACTTAAAGCATGAACCTCAAAGAAATAGAAGAAAAACAGAAAAATGAAATAAAAATAAAAATAAAACTTTGGCATATGGATTTTAAATTTGTACCTTTACTGCAGCTGTATGTATAACAAGCAGCATAACCACCGTCACCAGCCCGTACATCAGCTTCAGCTGCTCGTCCTACAGTGCCAACTGCTGCACTCAAGCCAGCTCCAATGGAGAGATGCACATTACCAGTAAATGTCTTCACAGCCTCATTCGTTCTCAAAACAATTATGAAGTCTGTCAGTTCTCCTCCAGCCTGTAAGCAAATATCCCCGCAATAATGAAAAGATAAAACAAAAAGGTAAATAATACCAAAATATGGTTAAACAAAACTGCATTAGTATCTTAAAATTAAGGCTTCTTTTAAGTTCTGGCAATTGTCAAAGAAGAGCTACTTCACCTGAGCTCCCCATCCTACACCAAATGAAGAAATGGCAGATGGTGGAGACCACGAGCCGTCTTCTCTACGAGCAACTACAAGCCCTGTTCCAATATTATAGGTAACCATCATCCCAACTTTTGCAATAGATAGTACTGCAAGGCCTTTTGCTTGTCGTAGAATGACATCTGGAATTGATTTCTCAGGCTTCAGATAACCAACCTGAGCAGAAATATGTTATAGACAGTCAGAAATATGCGGCTTTCAAGAACATAACAGAAATCTTTCATCAAGCTAAAAAAAATAAAAGCAAAGAGCTCATCTCTCCAAATTAGATGCAAGCTCCACATGACATAATTCTTGTGCACAGTTTCTGCGCTAGGAAAGAATAAATCTGAAGTGAACTAACACGTAACTCCCTGATAGATCTAGTACATGTTAAAAGTGATTCCCACAATTCATTGGCTTATTCATATAACAGCTTTCATAAAAAGAGATATGCTTGAAAGAAACATCCTTGGAAATTGAATCTTACCTTACTATAACCTCGAATTGTGTTTGTTGCCTTATAAATCTCATATTCCATGGACTGTCCCCATGGAAAATTAACCCAGGATCTCAATGTACTGAGGTCTGTCAGGTCATGGGTTGGCAACTGAGCAGCATTACTTACTTGGTTCATCAAGTATGGTTGGACGGAATCAAGTCGCACACAGCACACATCACAGACACGTTGGGGATCTGAAACTCGAAACTTTGCAGGCAACAAACTCCTTCCTTTAGAACACTCACCACAAAATATTCCTCCACAGAACCGGCAGTGATGCCTGGAGCACATAATAGGATGAAACCGCACACCACACAGCATACAAGCAGAAGCAGCACTATCAGCCATCCATTTTGGTGGGTCTGCTTCAAGAAGTTCACTTACATTACCAAAGTTGGCCTCAGTGAGAGTTTGAGCCATCTCTTGCCAAGCTTGCTCAAGTAGATGGTTTGACATCCATGAAAAGTTAACTCTATGAATATCTCCCTTAGCAATAGCACTTACTTTTCCACGGGCCACAAGTAACATCTCCACTATAACATCCCACATGGTTAACTCTTTATCTTCCTTAAGGAATTGGCTCCATCCCATGTCACCTTCTGGCAAGTAACCTCCATTTGTGTGAAGCTCTCTTGCCCACTCTTCATTATCGCCTTCCATCATTGGTGGAACCGAAACAGGTATCCAAACCCCGGTATATTCATAATGCGGCGAGTCATAATAGAAGTATTTTCCCATATTTTTCTGTGTAGCCTTTGATTCCATATTTTGTTCATCCTTATTAACTGGTCTAGGTAACTCAGCATCGTTATCTCTAGATTCAACAGTTATTTTACTCTCAAAGCCAACAATGGGTAGTGATTTAGAATGATCTCTACAATCTTCAAGTCCCTTATCATCCTGTAATCAAACGTCAAAAGCTGAGAAAAAACAACTTACAACTATGCATCAATAATTTATTATTCAATAATCTCTAGCCTAATTCAATTGAAATTAAACAGATTAACATTTAACCACCCCATGATTATTCACATCTTAGCCCACTCGCATGAAAAATTTCAAAATTCTGTTAATCTAATTTATGATTAATAAGCCACAAAAAACATGAAAACAACAATACTCAAAGAAACAATTTTTTTTTTTTAGAAAGAAATTATTTAAAAAAAAATTGAAATAACAACAGCCCGATTATACAAACAAAACTGGCCAGCTCAATCAAAATGAACGGAAATTCAATTGAATTCAGATCGACAAAATCATGAAACCGAATTTAAAGCAATGAAACTAGACCAAACGAATTTATAATTACGAACTCACCGCCGGCGGAGAAGGAGGATTCGGCTGACTGGACTTCGGAGCTCCGATTTCTACCGATTCGGATTTGGGATTCACTTGATAGTCTTCCATCTAATCACGATAATAGCAGAATTCGACTTGATTGAATACAAATTTTCGGGTTTATTTTAATTTTCTATTTTCTGGGAAATTAAATTATTTGGGGATTTTGAGCTGTAATGGCGTCTCTTTGGAGTCATTGTTTTCTTGTACCATTTTTTTACGTCTTTTTCACGTTCCTTTTTTTATCTAAAAATAAAATAAATTAACCGTAGATTACGTGGCAGCCTACGGCAATGTGCATAGTTTTACTAAGGATGGACGAATAAAAGTGTGACAAGTCAGCAAGGGAGGGTAAAAAAGTTAAAAGTAATTTATAATCTGTCAGACAACCGTGGGATCACCCCAACCACTTTTCAATGGCTGAGAACGATCCTCTACTGAGGCCAGTGATCTACATCATTGGTCTCTGTTAATCACGCTCTGATCTCACGGTCATGATTCATCCACCAGATTTGATATCCTGTCTTCTTAGAACTCAAAGACACAGAGGTACGAGCCTATAGAACAGATCCTGTTCAAGTAAGGTCGTACCCAAGTGTTGTCTCAAAGGCTTATAAAACCTATAAGTTTGTTGCGTAAGCTAGCGATGTGGGATTTCGGTTTTTCTCTTGCTGGGCTGGATTTGTGGATTTTGACAGGTGTGATTGTTATATTTGTTGCCACGTGTACAGCACTATAATATTCAATTCAATGGATATATTTTACTTCCTCCTTGAGAGATCATTCAATTCTAAGATGCCCCACTATTTTCAGAAAGCCTTAAAAACCTCCTTGCTGTTTAATTTTTTAATATCAATTATATATATCAAAAGAATATTGTATTTATTAGATTTTTTATTTATTTATTTTCATGAGTAAACACTTTTTCCCACCCAAGGTTTTCCTTAATGACATTTTCTACCCAAAAATTTTCAAAATGTTATTTTCTCACCCAAAGTTTATATTTCGACTAATCGCCAACCGATTCCGACATCTTGACGATTCTACACCACCACCATTTTCTTTTCTAATCATCACTCATTGAAATCTTTCAAACCTTGCTCTCACCAACCCCGCAAATCGTCAACAATCGAGTGATTTGTGAAACACATAACTACCCCTCCCACTTTAGATTTCGATCAATTACGACCACCAAAATTTAACCTGTCACTACCAAAAAACTTATTGATATCCCCTCTTCAAAAGCCCCACTAGCTTGGACCAAATTTGCTCTACGGTGGCCGCCGAAATGGAAAGTATATTGTGGATAGTAAATGGAATATAAACTTTAGGTGAGAAAGGGGTAGTTTGAAACTTTTTTGGTGGGAAAATGTCATTTAAGGTAAACCTTGGGTGGGAAGTTATTTTCTTATTTTCATTAGCCCAATAAAAATTAATTGAACATATTCGTCAATTAATTTTAACTGTATAATAACTATTCGGTGACGAAAAATCCGGAAACAGAAAAATTCCCGTAAAAAGACCGAAAGCTAGTAAAATCGCAGTACACAAGCCGTATCTTTGTCTTCCCCATGGCGACAACGAACCGTAGAATCTCAGTTTTGATACTAATCCTCTTCATCTTCCTATCAACTCTCTTCCAATTCTCATCAACACAACATCTCAAACCCACATCAATCTCTTTTTATTCATCTTCAAATCGAAACCTGTTGGCAGTTCAAAGGAAACGCTACCAGATCCCGAGGTGCAACGAAATGTTGTCAAGATCTCAGTGTTCTCAGAACCCTAAGTGCCGATGGTGCCGTAGTGAAGCTCTCAATGACATGTGCTTTTCCAAAACTGAAGCTTGGAGGTTGCCTCACCAGGTCTTTACTTGTGATTCATGACCTTACATTTTCATCTGGAGTTTATCGATTGTGAGCTTGCTTTGTATTGTAGTAACCCATTTTATGTTATGTTTTTGTTTTTGTTTTTATTTTTTAATTTGTACGAATTGGGATAGCTTGTTAACGCTTTGTGATTATTGATTCAATATATGGAGTTGGTTCTGGATTGGAAAGTTTGGGAATTAATTTATAGCTCAAAAGACATTCTCAATTCGCACGATTAATTGGATTTTGTTTGTCGCCTTTTGATATATATGTTCGATTGAATTGGAAGTTATTGAAGGAAAAACTTTCTGATTCTTGAAGGAAATCAATGATGAGATTTTCCTTCTATGTTGGATCACTTTAGTTTTACATTGGTGTTGGAGTTGATTGTTCGTCATGTCCTCCGGTTGGAATGTGCTTCTGCTTCTCAAATTCTGGTTCTTCTTATGTTGGTTGGTATGATTTTTAAAACTGTGTAGTTTTTGATGTTGAGAAAGTTTCTAGATGGGACAGGCACAAAAGACTTATCATGTATTGATGACTAAGAAATTTAAGAAGCAAATATGTTGTGTCATGTTTTTACGATAGATACATGGATGATGTGGTACACATCCTCTGTAAATTTTTTCTAATCAATCTTCTCTTTTGGTTATCAGAGTAGACCCTCTTAGGATTTACTTAAATAGAAGCATTTTTGTCAAAATGTCAAATGTGTTATATATAGATTCACTCTTTATACTGTTACGTGGACAATTTTCTCTATATTTATGGAGTATGATTGATGGCGTTACGCCAAATTTAGAAGCTTATGTTTTACTTTTTTTTGTTTTTAACTTTTTAGGATTTTAGTTTTTGAGAGGTTCAAGTCTTAATTGACTGGCTGATTTTAGGGTTCACCATTAAGGTATTGGACTTTTCCTTATACTAAACTTTTGCAATTCCATATTGGCATTGTTGTCTCGGGGTTATTTATGAGTATCTGCTTGTGTAGTTGATAGAATATAGAAGATGGCAGAAGTGGGCTTAGTACCCAAAAAAGTTTTCTAGAGAAGAGGCTTATCTTTAGAATTGAAGAAATAGTGTTTCACTCCTGATTGCATGCTGTGGTTAACAACTTTCTGTTGAGAAACTAGATGTGGGTAATGTTGAGTGCCTTGAGATTGTACTTAAATGTGTAAGGGAATGTTTCTAACCATAAGAAAAGCAGTCAATGGCACGATACTAATTTATTTTCATTCTAGTTAAAATTTTTTATCAAGCAGAAAACTGTTAGAGAACTCTGGCTAGCAAATATTCTTGTGATTTTGACGTTGTAGTGGTATATTACCATCTTATTACCCTTCTTGTTTAAAATTTCCTATCAAGCAGAAAGCTTTGAGACAATTTTGCCAACCATAAATTCTTGTAATTGGGACATGTAGCCTTTGTGTTGGAATCTCTGTTATTGCTTCTTTGAATCTGCCCGGGTATAGCAAGGATTAGAAGCTATTTAAACTGAATTTCAAATTGCCAAGAGTGAAACAGGAAAATTCTTGTGGTTACTGACTGAAACAATGCCCCCCAGATTCTGAGATTGTCCTTTGAAAGGTTGAAAGGGAAGGAAATTATTAAGCTCTTAAGAGAATGTTCATGTAATCTTCAGTTACCTATAAAAGTTGGTGAAATGTTTCTATGGATATCTCGTTGGCTAATTTATGTAACTGAGAGCCTGAGTTTGAAATCTCCAACCAGGACATTTCTTTTACACTATTAGCCCCTGCTCTTTTTACCTGAATTCTCTTCCATGTCCAACTTCCGTCTGGTCATACTCAAGTCAAATTGCAGAATAATAAAATCCGTTCACATCGATGATGCATTGTAAAAGATATCAAAGTTGCAGGAGGAAAGGAAGGAGAGAAGAAAATTATCATTATAAAACTGAAAGTTATATTTTACAGGGTAGCCGTTAAAACCGAGTGAAGATGTAGTTAAATAAATATATCCTGCAATAGAGTTGGCTGCCAAAATATTTGGAATAGAGATAGATACACCGTCAGCGTCAAATTGTTTCAAGATCCACGCAAGAAAAATTAGGATCCACCATTTCTTCTGCAAAACCAACTCTTTTATGTTAGTAAACTGTCAAAAACTTCTAACTGGGGACAGTGAGAAGGGATTCTTTGCTCCACCACTTCTCCACATGCGTAAATCTGATTTCATAATGATCCTAGACATGTGTAAATCTAGATTTTCCTTCTTTAAATCTGAAGGGTTATTGATGTATTCAAATTGTAAATTTACTCGGTCATATTTTTAAACATCATTAAAAAGTTGGGAATTTGGAGTCCAAAAGAAAATTTAAACAGAAACATAATCAACTTTGTCATGGTACAATAGTTATATCATGCAAAGAAACTTTGCATCTGAATTCAATCCCTGAACAATTCATTGCATTCTTTTCATTTAGCAATTCATTGTTCAATACAAATCTCCTCAACCATAAAATCCAAGAAATCACATTTCCGAGTTCTCATACCTTTTTTCACCATCGAAGTTGTTCTGGAAAGGATGAAATGCCTTCACAGCATCCCTCATATCAACGAAACAATCACAACGCTCAAAAAATTTGGCCAACTTACACAACTCCTTATCATTGGCGTCGCCGGTGAAGGGTTTCATCGGAATCGCATTTTGCGGATGAAAAATATAGGCATTTGGATTATCATCAACAATCACCACCTTCTTCAAGTCTCTCCCCATCTCAGACAAGTCCTTTACAAACTTTCCATCATGTTGTTTGCAAGAATCACGATAAAGCCGATGCGATATCACCCTCTTCTCATCAAGCCTATCAAGAACCAACGACGCATACTCCTTTAACCCCGCCGTGAACACCACCAATTCGTACTTTTTACTTATTGATTCCAAGAAAGCATCAACACCGGGCCGTTTTGCAACATAAAAATTCATGATTTCTCCATCAATTCTTGGCCTAACAATGAAGTCAAATTTTTCCGGAGGAGGGTCGGGTTTTGAATGGATTAACGTCTCGTCAAGATCAAGAAAAATGGTTTTTTTCTCAGGGGATATGAGAGGAGGAAGAACGTTTTCCTTACCAAAGAAAAGAACTTTAGGAACAAGAACTTGATCTTCAAATTCAGGGTGATCTTTTTGTTCTGTTTTCAATATCTTGTAGCCTTTGCTTTTGCGAGTTGGAGTGGTCATGCGCACCAATTTGGAGAAAAGTTTGGCGAGACGGCGCTTGCATGAGTACAAAGATTTGTTAATGGAAGAGATGAAGTTAGCAGCGGAGGCGGACTTGGAGGGGGACTTCTTGCGGCGGCGATGGCGGTTCTTGGAGATTTTCGGTGGGGTTTTTTTGATAAACTTGGCCACCATTTTTGTGGATTCGTTTTTTTCCTTGAGAATGTAGGAGAGATAGGGAGAGAATGAGAGAGAGATTTGGGGAAGGGAAGTAGGGATATGGGGAGCGTTGGGGGTTTAAATTGTGGTTCGGTATAACGGTCGAAAAGATAGGCTCGGAACCGAAGCTATATTTTTGTTAAAGTGAGGGCGGTTAATTTTAGTCAAAATTATGGGAAATTATTTAAAATTTAACCAAAATTTGGGGCTAAAAAGTAAATGACCATTTCAAAACTCTATTACCCATGGTTTGTAATAAGGTAAAAGAAAAGGAATTAAAAATTAGTGAAAACATATAAGAAAAAAATTTAGAATTCAAGAGGGACAATTGCCTCCCTCCCTTGAAATCAAAGGTAAAGAGAACCAAGTAAGATGATATTTTAGTGGATTTATACTGAAAGAACAAAGGTTTTGGTTGGTCATATAAATTTGATCAAACATATTATAGACCTAATTTTTTCTTTTTTAGAAAAAAAAAACAGAGATCTTGAACGGTATTTAAATAACTATCTCTTAGTGGTTGAGTAGTTTGATAGAGATTTTTAGGTGTATTACTTAAGAGGTTCTGAGATCGAACCCTTTTTAGTTGCTAATAGGGGTAGTCACTGAAACTCTTATAAGGTCGATAGTTTCAAAGTTCAAAGAGGTTAGTTAAAGTGTATATAAATTGACTCGGACACCCTCGATCATAAAAAATAAAGACAATATTTAAATAAGTCATGGGCTTCTAAAAGTTAATTTGCAACTCTAGGCTAAGGTTTTCATTGATTGATAATTTGATATCATATTTCATCATTTCCAAATACTTTTAATCTTAAAACAAAATGGTTTAGAGTTCTAAAAAATAAATAGTTTTTTAATATCTAGGTGTATTAAAATATTAAATGCCTTTTTTGGTAATTACAAGTTTAAAAAATATATGTTGTTTTGGAAAACAATTATCGGGGTCAAAAAAGAGGTTGAATGGGGTTTAAACTTCAAATAAAACCACTCTTTTTATGGGTACAAACTTTTGGCCCATATGAGTCAGGAACTCAAATAGAAAGCCCAAGATAAAGCTCAACTGAATTTCCAGTTTGCTTCTGAAATGAACAAACCAATTTTTTTAACAAAATTAACAAAGGAAGAAGAGTAAGTATTTCCTAATTAACTACCTCTCGATGGTCGAATGGTTTAATAGAGATTTTTGGGTGTATTAATCAAGAGATCCTGAGTTTGAGTCCTTTCTCGGTTGTTAATAGAGATAGTTACTGGAGCTCTTACTCGACCAGTAGTTCCAAGGTCTTGGGAGATTAGTTGAGATGTGCGTAAGCTAGCCCGAACACCCTCGGTTATTAAAAAAAAAAATTGCCTAATTTAATTTGAAAAAAAAAAAAAGGAGAAAAAGAGTTTTCAAATTGAAGAGTATCTCCTGCCTTTACCTTCTTTTTCTTTTTTGACTAGGGCATATATTCTTCACTAATTATCTAAAAAGTATTTGTCCCTATTTGGCTCTTTATTTAATTTGAGCTCCTTTATTCCCTACCCCCTATTACTCCAGTTTACTTAATTAATTCCTTCTCCGGTCAAGTCATTTTATTGCAATTACCTCTGGATGATTGAGTGGTTCGATAAAGACTATTGAGTATATTATTCAAGAGGTTTTGAGTTTGAGTTACTTCTCAGATGCTAATAGGGAGAGCCATTGAAGCTCTTATCAGTCTGGTAATTCTAGGGTTTCGAGGGACTAATTGAGGTGCGCGTAAGTTGGCCCCCGAACACCCTAGTCATAAAAAAAAAATTAAAAAAAGTTATCTTATGGAAAATTTTGCCATTATAAGTAGCATCAATTAATGCCAGTGTCAACTTAAGTAATCTCATAGTAAGCAAAATTAGGTCACTGATGACCAATTAATTAAGGAGGCAATAACATGCATAGAGTCATAAGCAAAATTCTACATAAAGCAAAATGCCACAGTATTCTTTGTCTGCCACTAAGTCTTTTAAACAATTTAAATTTGCAATTTCTAGTGAATCTCCATTATAAACGGGAGACCCTTTGAGGGGGCTTTCACCAAACCATTTTGCTAATAAAAGAGAATTCTAAATGTGAAAGCAGAAGATTACACAAAACAGTAGCAGAATCTGAAAAAAGGGATAAGGGCCATAAGGCAACGAACGACCCATTTGGGTTTGAAAAATTTGGAGTGTTGGACGTAGTCCAATCCAAAAGGAAAACATGGAAGTAGAAAACAGAGTGCATTTACTTTGAGTCTCCTACAACATTAATGGGAATGGTAGAAAATAGAAAAAAGTGGCCATGAATGGACTCTGGTGTGAGGTTGGCTTGGTCTATGCGCGTTGAAACAGTACGCCTTATTACTTATTTCACACAAGTGTTAGATATATGTCATTGCCATGATAAAATCTGTCGTTTCTGTATGCGGCTACTTGTCCTTTTGACATAAACCATTTCGGTGGATGATATAAGTAAACTGTTCATAAAACTGTGAAACAGTCAAGCTGGTAGTCACTCAATTAATCTCTGACCCTTGAAGTTAACGATCAAACCAGTTTTTGTACACCTCAACGATCAGATCAATTAGTGATCCCTCTAATAGGGATTGAGGTGAATCGAACTCAGGATTTTTTGAATAAAACACCCAAAAATCCTAACTGATTATTCAGTCACTCACTCAGTAGTGGTCATCAAGGGATGATGTTAGTATGCGTTAATGCATATGTTTGACAATTTAGACTAGTAGTGGTTGCATTGCACATGGTCGTAGGAAAATTAAATTCATAGAGAAAAAACCATTGAGTCAAAGTGTCATGACTTTTCAGCAAAAATTACCAGGAAATTGATTAGTTGATTATTATACTAGTGCGTGAGAGTGTCTAAGGTCACTCTTTCAAGGCATAATTTCAGCACAAAAAAGATTTATTATAGCAAACAAATAGGACCGTGTCAAGGCAAAAACTTTTTTTCTTTTTTCTGATTTAATAAATCATAATTAATTAAGCAATAAGAAGGAAAACCCACGTAATATGTGACAAATTGTGAGATCAGCAGCATCTAGCTGGGTCAAATTTGTAGAATTTTATTTTGACCCCTCCATCAAGTTGATCTTCTCCATCTTCATCTGTTACTCTCCAAACATTTAATTCATAATAAATTTTAGGGGTTAGCATCCCCCACAATAACCTGTATTTCAGCCATGGGCCAATATCATGTATTAAATACCTACCGGAAATTTGGCTGTTGAAGATGTCTTTGATAATGTACTTTGAAATCTGCAGACAGAGGAACCCAACAAATACATGTAAATAATTACTAAGTGAAAAAACTAATAAATTGAAATGGATTTTATGACTTTTTTTTTTAGACTCAGTAGTTAATAGCTAATGCCAATCAATTGAATGCTTCATGTTGGTGGAACTAATTGCTGAGTTAAATGGATTTGGTTCACCTATAAGGTCAATGAATATTCAATTGGGTTGGGTAATTAATCAGTTGCTTAGTATGCAGGGAAGTAAGAAAACAATTAGATTACTTGTAGTCAAAACAAAAGGGTTAAAAAATTAACAGGAAGAAACTTATAACTACTTTTGAGTTGCCGAGTGGTTCGATAGAAACTCTTGTGTTTATTACTCAAGAGGTCTTGAGTTTGAGTTTCTTTTCGATTGCTAATAGGGTAGCCATTAGAGCTATTACCTGGTCGGTAGTTTCAGGATCCTAGAGGATTAGCTGAGGTACGTGTAAGTTGGCCCAGACATCCCAAGTTATAAAAAGGAAGAAACTTAGATTATATTGTAATTGTATGATTTTTTTTATTGGAAAATATTGGCATATTGATGTCATTTGGGTAATGAGGGAAGCAATATTTCTCATTGACTGAGCCTTAATTTTCATTTATTTTTGGAAATTGAAGGGTGCAATCCCCTTGTTGAGTGTTGACTAGCCCTTCATTTTTATTTTTATTTTAAATTAGGGCTGTCTAATTATATTAAACATTGAATCAATATGACGGTTGATTACCTACTAATCCAGGAAAGCTCCATTAATACTTAAAAAATAAGCTGAAGTATTATCCAAAAATTAATATAAATTTGCATATTGGCAAGAATTTTTATTTTTATTTTTAACTTAACTTATTATAAGGATCAATGCCTCCAAATATGGATTGATTGCAATGAATAAACAAAATCACGAATATAAATGACAGAAAAAGACAATCCTCCAAATTAAAAGTTCAATCTCCACACATTGTATATGCAATCACTAGAATAAAATGTGACACATGAATCTTTAAAAGCCGCAAAATTTAATATAAATAAATGAAATAAGTTAATCCGAAGAGAATTTAGTTGACGAAAGATAGCTTTATATAACTATCTCTGGGTGATCGAGTAGTTTGATAGGAACTCTTGGGTGTATTATTTAAGAGGTCCTGAGTTCGAATCCTTTATCGGTTACTAATAGGGATAGCCATTAGAGCTCTTATCAAGTCGTTAGTTCTAGAATTCTAAAAGATTAGTTGATGTTTGCTTAAACTGACCCGAATATTCTTGATGATTAAAAAAAAAAAGAAAAAAGAACACGGTATCTCTATATGGTGAGAGAGTTGCATATAATGGAGATGCTTGCCTGTTTTTATTTTTATTTAAACAGTGGGATATTCCATTTTTTTAACTATCGGAAACATTTCTTGATTTCTTAGTCATTTTGCTTCTTAGTTAATTGTCTGAAGCCAGACATAATGTTCCAGACATAATTGAGGTTATTTTGTATGGTTGTGAGCAGATAAGTTAACTTGAAAAGAGTGAGGGAATTGATTGATAGTTGCTAAAATTAATGCTTGGTGGATTTGGAGAAATTGGAATGGACAAATACAATGGGAACAAGTATATAGCATAAAAATTATCATCATAAATAAATCCATTTTGAGCCAAAATAAATTAATGGAATCAGTGAATACTTACCATTCTAATAATATTATTAGTCTATAATAACAATCCATTATAAATTATTTGATATTTTATTAGATATTTGAGATTCATGATTTCTTCTTACCCAAAAAAAAAACATAATAATAATAATAATAAAAAGAAAAGAAAAGGGTATATACATATTTCATGTAGTAAATAAAGTATTAGATATGGTGCATACTTCTCTTAACTTTGCATACTTCTCTTAACTTTGACGAATTATCTATCTATGACGACTCATTTGGGGGTCTTGTTAGAATTAGTTTACTAATATTTAGACCTGAATCAGGTTAGATTCGAGCAAACTTAAATAAGGTTAGGTTTTTATTATGTATTTTCTGTAATAGTAAAAAACTTAAAGTGAGAATAAAGAGTGAGAGTGTGCTATAATCGTAATTCCTGTATAGTTTTGATACTCAATAAAATTATCAGTTTGAATGCTGGACGTAATTCTTTAATTGAAACGAATCAAGATAAATCATTGTTTTCTATCTTTATTTAATACTTTTCTTGTGAGATTTTCAGTGATGAAAGTTAAATAATAAATAAAAAAGTGCTTTAATTATAAGTTTTTAAGTCTGAATTACGAGATTTTGAACTGATAAAATTTAAACAAACATCTTATGACAATAGTTTGAGTGAGTTCATCTTTTATATATGCAATGCAACTTTACATATATAAATCAACTAATTAATGGCTTGTCTAACAAAGCAACCAGCCATTAAGTGGTTTCTCAAAGTACTAGACAGTTATCAGACTTGGTTCCAACTATGAACTAAGAACAAAATCCGACTGGAAAATAAACATTGATTCATTAATACTCTACACCAGCAATAATTAATACTGACTATATTTAGAAACTAGTTAATTAATTCTATCTATCTAACTCAACACCACAAATTTAAACCACTCTTCTTCATCTTCCATTGATTCATTACTTCTCCACCGCATTGCTTTTTCCTCCAACCCTTCTGTACACGTCTCTTCATCAGTGAAAGCAACCACCACTCACTCCTCCGCATTTGCACTTCATTTATCTGAAACCTAACCCAGGTGGGAGCTGGTGTCTCTGCATGAACCAGTCTTGGATCTCAGCTGCTGAAGAAGTGAGGCTAGAGTGAATGAAAATGAGTGGAAATGAGGTATTTTATTTTATTTTTGCATATTTATTAGTCGAAGATACTCTTTTTCATATAAGGGTAAAATGGATAAAAAATAAGAATGAACTCGACATTGTAATTTTTTATATCCCGTCTTAAGGAACTTATCTTCACATAGTAATAATTATCTACATATTGCAAAAAATATTTACTATGTTACATTAAATGTTTATTTAAAGTTATATATATATATATTAAAAATATGAAAGAAATACCTTGTTGATGCAATATTATATATGGTCTCTTAAAAGTGGAAAAGAAAAAATAGATAAATGAGTATAGCAATATTTATCTTAAAATAGAAGTGAGAAAAAAAGAAAACAGAGAAAACTAATATAGGAAGATTATAATATTAATGAGGTTAATAAATAAGGGTATTACACAAAAATTAATAAAAGAAGCTTGCATGTTGCCCTGTATTTGCGGTGGGTGGTTGAACCAGGCAGCTAGCCTTCAATGCTTTCCTTTCTCCCCCCCACCATAAAATTTAAAAAAAAAAAAAAAAAAAAAACAACACATTAATATTTATATTTTGCATGATATGAAATGTCACACTTTCAACGATATCTCCAAAGTAAACAGAGAGACATTATTTAATAATCACAAGAAAAATATATTTAATATTAAAGTTTATGACAAATTTATATTCTCTTTCTATGTGAAAGAGAAAAAGTCCAACAACCTGGCCCTTACTATTTCTCTCTTCCTTTCTCCATTATTTAAGGGGGACCTTCCTTCGGTTGTCCATAAATTGAACATCGGCAGTTTAATATTTTGAGCATTAGTCACAAACAGCCAAAACTGCTAGGATTTTTTTTTGTCAATCCATCTCTGTGTCCACTTTGCTCCCAAATCCTTTTGCTTTGTATATATATATAGCTTTTCTCGTATATACAGATCAATATGGCCGAGGCTGCTGGGAGCAATGGATACCATGAAGTTGTTGTCAACGTTAAAGATGGTGAAAATACTCCTGGCTCTGCTGTCTGCAAAGCCAAACAAGACTCCGACCTACAATTTTCTGTGCCTTTCGTGCAGAAGGTGACTAAACACTTTTCTTCTTCTGAATTATATTGGAAAGTTTCTTTGTTTTTGGATATGGGGTGATTGATTTGTTGCTTGTTATGTTTATGCAGATAATAGCTGAGATTTTGGGCACATACTTTCTGATTTTTGCTGGTTGTGGGGCTGTGGTGGTGAATTTGAGCAAAGAAAAGGTTGTGACACTGCCTGGGATATCAATAGTGTGGGGGCTGGCGGTGATGGTCCTGGTTTATTCTGTTGGCCATATCTCTGGTGGCCATTTTAATCCTGCTGTCACCATTGCTTTCGCAACCTGCAAGAGGTTTCCATTGAAACAGGTGAAAACTTGGTCAATACTTTAGCACCATTTTTTCATCAATTTGGTAAACGACACCACCAAGCCAACTTTGATATGCCTTTAAAATAATGTTAATTAATCACTTATATGTCTATTTCTGTTACTTCTATTATGCCTGCAGCCACTGTTGACAGTCCCAATTCTTCTTGAACATCATTTCAGTTTTTTCTGGTTCAATTCAATCTTAATTATGATAATAGGCTTTTCGCCTCACCTGGACTATTAGTTTAAGTTATATATCAAGTTTATGTTGCTTCAATGTTGCAGGTACCAGCTTATGTAGCAGCTCAAGTTCTTGGATCGACACTGGCGGCTGGAACCCTTCGATTGCTCTTCAACGGGAACCAAGATCACTTTGTAGGAACAGCACCAACTGGGTCTGAAATGCAGTCTTTTGTGATTGAGTTCATAATCACATTTTACCTCATGTTTGTTATATCTGGAGTTGCCACTGATAACAGAGCGGTCAGTTCATCTTCCTTCTCACCTAATCATTTCTTTTTAATTTGTGATTAGATATACATAATTATCCAAAAGGGTAGCTAATTAACTTCAATAACAAGATGGGATTTCGGATATGTTGAAGTTTTTTTTAGTATTAATCAGTTTAATACATACCAAACCGTGTGAATCTTAATGTTAAAAAACAATGACATAGACAATGACTTAATCTTTAAAATTATCTCTATTGACAATGATATGTGGAAACATTACATGATTAATAATTCTGTTGCTTCTGCAGATTGGAGAGCTTGCAGGGCTCGCTGTCGGTTCCACCGTGCTGCTTAATGTGATGTTTGCAGGGTATATTAACTTAATTTATCATTTCAAACTAGTTAAACATATATCATAGTCAACACATATTGGAGCTTAGCACAAGTCATCTTTAAGTAAAATATTAATTTCTTGTTTTGTGCAGACCAATATCAGGAGCATCAATGAACCCTGCAAGAAGCTTGGGACCTGCCATTGTGTCAAGCCAGTATAGGGGTCTATGGATTTACTTGACTTCACCAATCCTTGGCGCCACAGCCGGAGCTTGGATGTACAATATGGTGAGGTACACGGACAAGCCCTTGCGCGAGATTACAAAGAGTGCTTCGTTCCTGAAGAACGTGAACAGCACCTAAGAATTCAATTAAGGAGTCTAATTTACAGAATTATTAGGTTAACTTGTGTAAAATACAGATTTTGGAGGGTTTTCTGCATCATGTTACTGGGGTGGATTTGTATGTTCTGCATTTGTGTAAGCAGACACAATTATATAAGTTTTTATCTTCTTAAAATGTATGTATTCACTCCTGTAATACGCATAGTAAAATAAAGTAGCACTTTGTTATCCTTGGTGTTTTCTTTCTTCTAATACAAATCTCCAAATGATAATATGAATTATTCCTTTGTTAATTGTGGCGGTAGACTGATTAAATGAGAAAAAAGACACCATTAAATTGTGTTCAAAATGAAATAAAATACACCATTCAATTGCAGTAATCTTTGACCGTATGCATATTGATCTGGAGGTTCCATCTCTCCAGTTTCCACGTGTTGTGGAGATACCATTTGTTTACATAATTTTAGCTGTTCTTCTCACAAAAGAAAAATTGAACAAAAATGAATCTTCCAATTGTTCACTTTTTGTTTGCTTATGTTGAATGATTAGTTTTCAAAATAGGTTTTAACACTATCCCATTGAAGATTGCCGCTGAAGATCTTCCAAAGGAATATTTGCGATCTTGAGTTTCATTATAAAAAAGATGAGTAAAACAAATTTTTTTTTTTCCACCAAAATAATGGTTTGATGACACTTTCCCACCTACAAATTTTTAAAATACTATTTTACTATCCATATTTATATTACGTTTCCAATTCTGACATTGTTGCGACCCTATATCATCACCGTTATCTTTCTCGATCATCACTTATGAAAACCCCTCAAACCTTACTCCCGTCCACCCCATCAATCATCGACAATCAAGCGATCAGGGTTTACACAATCGCCCCTTCCAGGTCAAATTTTGGTTAATCACAACCAGCAAAATCCAATCTTTCACCACCAAAAGACTCATCTGCTCCCATTTTTCAAAAGCCCCAACAGCTTGGACCGAGTTTGCTCTTTGTTTGCTGTCGGAATATAAATTTGGATAGTAAAGTGATATTTTAAAAGTTTATCAATCGGAAAGTGTCATTAAGCCATTATTTGGGTGGAAAAAAGTTGCTAACTTATCACTTGGGTTAGAAAATTTGAGTCAAACACCTTATCCAAATATCATATTTAGAAAAGTGATATGTTGTGTGAATCACAAGCTATTAAATGACTTGAAGCCAGAAACATGAGCATGAATTCTTGGCCATAACACGGGAAAATTGAAATGGCTTCTTTCCTTTATACTCGTGATATGGATGACAAGAAAATGGTGTAAGATGATCTGAGCAGAAGACGTGTGCTGTGGATAAGAACAGTTTTAATGAGCCAATTTGTTGTTCAAACTTCAAAAAACGTTTCCCAAGTCACATGAATCAAGTTTTTCTTCACCTAAAACAAAGCACATTTCGTAAAAGTTGATGTAAGTTGAAAGTTTCTTTTTTTAAAGTATTATCCAGTTCATGACAGAAATTTAGGAATGTTCAAATCATGTGAATCTTTTTGACGGTATTATCGGAACTGAATGGGGGTATTGTGAAAAGGATTAAGACCAATCCAAATTGAACTCCTGCAAATATTTCATTCTGTGAGGCTGTGACATTGGAAACTTAAAAGGAGAGTTTCCCTCCCTCTATTTGAGTTGCAGTCAAATTCTGCATACACGTATTATTTTCATAATACAGAGGTGTCATTAATAGATTAGTAAATAAGACCCTTCAAAATTCAATTAAGTTTAGGTCAAGAAAGTGTTCAAATTTGAAAAAAATTGAATGGTAAATGACATAAATAAATGGCCTCTTCAGAATTTTCGTCAAGCTTAACCTATGTTTAAAACTTAAAATATAAGAACTTTGTCCATTTGCATTCCAAAGTTAAAATATCAAGAGCTAAAGATATGATATTCAAATACTCAAGTAAATTCTCTTTCGAACATGTAGATTATTATTGACTATTGAGTTTACAACATAAAAACATATACACAGTGGCCAAAAAGAATTAACAAATAAGAGAGAAATCAAATTACAAAAAATCTGAGTGTGAATTAATGTGTTAGAAATCAATTTCATCAAGTTACTAAGTTTGCAACCGGATTCTGCTGAAGCCTCATTGGCCGTAACTAAGTTTGTGACTGGATTCTACTTCCACGGGCACTATTACTTGCAGAATCACCCCTTGGTCTTGCTCTTGGAAGAATAATAGGTCTACAACAGATTAGCATGAAGCACAACTCCATTATAAACAATGTAATGGTAATCCATACAAAAATGGTTTTCCTCCAATACCATATAATTCTTTTAAAAAATGGAAGTTCTGACTCAAGGATAAGGGAGGCATCATATATTTCAGGGACACCAGCACCGAGCCCATATTCTGCTCGTTGTTCAATTTTCACCTTTAAGCATGAAGTAGGAACATCCCCTTCTATGAAACCTTTAAGCTTCACATTCAGTGTTTGAGATTCTGATACATACCCAGCAACAATAGGAGCAACTTTAAGGAAAGTCAATAGAAGACGGATAGGTTCACTTTTGAATTTTAACATGCAAGGATGGCTTGCACTCGCAAGTGTTTTGCCATTAGCAGAAATGAGTTCTACTCTGATCTTCGAAAAAAAAAAAAAAAAAAAAAAAAAGGAAATCAGTCAGACCAGCATCCATCCTCTACATACCACAAAAAAATGCAGAACATGGACTCCAATGCTACAATTATTGAACAGATCTCAAGAACAGGGAAAGGGCAATTAACAAAAATGCCGGACAATAAAAGTAAAGAGGAAATAAATCAATCTAAAAAATTAGTGGCCCTGAGATTACATATCACATGCTAAAGTATCAAGTTCTAAACAGAACATGTTAAGAACAGATTCAAAATAGACGAGTTAGTAGTACTGGAATATGAAAAAAGCTATTTATATCAGAAAAAAAAGACAATTTACATTTGTTTTCTTCAAAAAAAGAGACCAGTGGTTTAAGTTCACATAGTCCAGCTGCTGCACATGCTACAATGTTAGGGTATTCTGGTATTAAGGTCCATACTTTTTGTGATGTTCTGATGAACCATCCACTCTCCAGAGGTTCTAGCTAATCTCAACAACCAAACTTATTGTCACTGGGTCAGAAGATCATAATCCAACATTCATTCTCACATAACATTCATTAACTTCAACCTAAAGCCATGAAACTTCATTGAGATGAGGGAGACAAAAGAAGTGGTTTTATCTAAAAATCTGGGGAATAAGTCTTTTAGAGTAAGAGCCATAGCACAGTATTAAGGTCTTCTTCTAAGGCCCCTTTATCCTCTAAAAGGAAATAACGTCTCAATCTTTTGTACACAGTATGATACTGCAACTTGCAAGGAGAGACTACTACTTAAAATTCACAAATCGAAATGTGGCAGAAGTTATAAGCTACAAAATTATCTTGCGCTTATGGGACATATAAAGTAACGATTAATTAGCTGGAAATTTAAAATTTCCTCCACCCTAGTAATTTAGTTTTCTTATCTGATACTGATTAAACTATGCAAATAAGTTATTCGAACCATAGCAAATGCTGAAGCATGAAACAGAGCAAACTACAAAGTCATTACTACTAAATACAAACTGACTGATTAAAGACTATTAACTTGATCGAAACATTAAAAAAAACACATAGCCAAAAGGAATCGCAAGCTTTGCAACAAATATTCACCTGAAAAACCCCAAGTTTTCGATTGTAATCTGATTCCGGCAGTGTCAACATGACAGAAACCTGCATCTTATGATCAATTGGTATAACCCGAGACCCTAAACTCTTTGAAACTTCTTTCTTCTCTTCACAATTGAAGCCACAGAAAACAGCATCACAAGACAGAATACGTACAAACGCAACTGGACTATTCTTTGTGTAATCAAAATTCAGAGTCTCTTTTATTTGAATAGGTTCTTCCACCAAAAACCTCATAAAAAACCCACTAATCACGACTGCCAACAGCAATAACCCACACAACACGGAGCATACATAAATACACCAGAACAAGCCCCAACCGAATCGCAAAACTAGCTTCCATATCGATTCATACCCTTTTAACCAATCATGAATCCAAGGACTAACAAACCCAGATATCAAATTCCATAAATTATAAAACTTTAGCATTAAATACTCTCTTCCACGTTTTACAGTACGAAATGGGTCCATCACAAACATGTAAAAAGAAGATAAAATCGATATGGGAAATAAAACGAAGCTAATTAGCAAATTGAACTCAAAACAAATTGCTTTAATCATTAACCCAGCAATATAAACGAGCAAACTCGAAGACTCTGAGTCAACCGAATCAGCTGAGTCACTAACTGGGTCATCATTTTCGAAAGTTACCGTCGATTCCTCAGTCTTATCTTCGCTAACTCGGAATGAGTCAACTCGGTCCACAGTCGAGTCCGATCCTTTCTCGAAAATAACTTCATTCTCCTTCAAATTTCGATGAATTTCACTTCGCCGGCGAGACAGCGAACGCCGCCTCAGAGTCGAGGGAATGTCTTTGGATTTCGACGGGGACTGGTCTGATTTGTCAGTATGAAGGCAATCGTCGAAGGGGAAGTCGTCGAGGGCGTCGACGAAAAGTTCATCGTCGTCATCTTTGGCCGGATTTGGCGGGTCCATTAAAAGATTAGGGAAAAGGAATAGGGTTTGTGTTGCATTACATTACAATTGAATTTTTTCTCCTTTCACACTCTTTCTTTTCTCAGATTCGTGCCTGTTAAGTGTTGACGCAACCAGGTTCGAAACACGTGGTCAGCGTCAGCCTTGTCCACCCAATGCACCAAAGTTCTCAATTCATAATAAATTTAGACCTGGGCATTTGGACAGGTAGGAGGGCCTGGTCCCAAACCCGGACCAGGCCCATGGAGGAGGGACCAGTCTCTAGATCGGGCCCTCCTCCAAGGCCCGGGCTTGGGATAGTCCCAGCTTAAGGCCAAACCTTTTTTTTTTTTCCCCAAAAAAATCCTTTAAAAAATATCTAAAAACCTCTTGTAAATATTAAAATTGACAAAAATATTGAGAGTTAAATTGATAGTTTACCAAAAAAAAAAAAAAAAGGAGAAAAGAAAAAAGAGTATTACGACACACTTCCATTTTTTTCACACCAACTATCAATCTCTCAGGCTCCGTTTGGTTCGCTTTAGTATTCCCAAAAAAGTTATAAAGTAAAATTGCAAAAACTCACAATATTATTCAACTTTTTTAAACCCCTTAAATTTGTTGATTTAATTAAATACCCCTAAATATTTTTTTTAGAAATTGCAAAAACACCCCAGAAACCCACATTTACCAAATTCCGGCCACTACTGCTGGAAGATGGCCGGAATCTAGTATAATGGCGCGCTGAATCTGGCTGGTAGTGCACCGATCTAGCATTTTCCAGCTAGATCCACGGTGGATCTGGCCGGAAAAGGCCAGATCTAAGGCCAAAGATCTGGCCGTAGCCAGTCGTCAACAACGGCTAACATATGGTCGTCGTTGACCATCAATGACGGTTGTATCTTTGGCTGTCGTTGATGAGCAAATGCGGCTAGATCTAGCCTTTGTCGGCCAGATCCACCGTTGATCTGACGGAAAAGGCCATATCGACGCACGACCGGCAAGATCCAGTCGGTCATGCACGGATATGGTGACTCCGACCACCCTCCGGTAGTAGTGGCCGGCTGTCCGTATTTATCGGGTGGATTAGGGGTGTTTTTGTTAACTTTTAATGTTTTATTATAGGGGTGTTTAGTAAATAAAAAAATATAAGGGGTATTTTTATTAATTTCCAAATCCTACATCATAATACCCGCCCAATTCAACTTTTTTTAACTTTTAAAAAAAAACTTTTCTAAAAAATGTAAAAAAGTGAACCAAACGGAGCCTCATTCTCTCTACTCCAATCCAATTGTCATTCATATTCTCTACATTCAATTTATATTTATATTTATAATTTATTCAATTTTTTCTATTTTTCAATATCATCTCTTATTCATATTATTATTCATTTTTTTTTCATTTTAATTATTTATTATTTTATCATAAATTCATAATGGAAGTGCCAAATGAGTTTTACGTTCCATCCATTGAAGAAATGGAAGGCTTCGATCCATTTTCACTATTTTCAGAGGCAGTAATTGCAATTCAACAACCACGTTTGACTAGGACGAGGTACATCCAAACACAAGCAAGCCCAACCCCCTCGACTGTCAAAAAGGGCTGTGTCTGATGTATATATGGCGATACTTCAGCAAATCAAAATAGGGAAAGACAAATGGGGAGGGGAAGAATCGTGCAAGGTATGTAATTTATGTGGAACCATTATTGAGGTTGAGAATGAGACTTCGACGATGTGACGACACTTGGAGAAAAAACACCCCCAAATAATGTAGCTATCCGATTCATCTTCAACCGGACCCGCTAAGCAAATTCAAACTCAACTTAATTTTAATCCATAATCCTCAACTCTGTCAACATGACAATACAATGCACTCCAATCATGAGAGAAAACAGCAAAATAAATAGTTGCTACGGACTCTCCCCTTTCTTTATCTGAAAATACTTATTTTATTCACATGATTAAAATTGCATTTTGTCCAGCATATACTCATGTTAGTAGAAGTACAAGTAGAAGAGACATACTAAAACTTTATAACCAAATAAATGTTCAACTTAAAAACGAATTTCAAAATTTTAGGAATATATCCATTACACTTACTTTAGACATATGGGCTTGTAGATTAAAAATAGATTTTTTAACTGTCACAATACATTACTTAGATCATGGTTGGGGTTTACAACAAATTGATAGGTTTTAGACTATTATATATTTCACATAATGCTGACACTATTTATTTTACAATTCTTGAAGTTTTGCAAGAATATGTATTAACTAAAAGACTTGTAGAGCTAACGCTGGATAATGCAGCTGCTAAGACTGCGACTATCTCTTTATTTGAAAAGAGATTGGATCCGCTTGGTGAAGGCAAATTTTTTCATCAAAGATGTACTTGCCATATCATCAATTTGATTGTTAAAGTAGGTTTAAAGGCTATAAATTCGAAGATTGAGAGGGTGCGCGTGGCTATCAGATTCATCATCGGCAGTGGCAGCAAAAGATGGCAGAGTACGTCAAATATTGTAAGCAAGAGGACCCACTAGTTTGACCTTTGAAGTTATGTACGGACATGTCTATCCGTTGGAACTCCACCTACTTGATGTTGGAAAAAGCTTTGCCAACTGCAAGACAAATTATAGATTTCGTCAATCAAAAGAACTATTTGGAGGAAGTTGTCAACTATAATGATTGGATGGTTTGCAAACTTTTTTATTCATTTCTTAAAGTTTTTTATGATTCCACTAATACATTAAGTGATATTTATTATCCTACTACTAATTTAGCATTAGATATTTTACTTCAAATTTCTAAAGCTTTTGCTAAATATAGATATAATGACGTCTTAAAGGAAATTGTTTCAAAGATGGAAAAAAAAAAATATGAGAAATATTGGTTAGATATTCCATTCTTATATGGATTAGGCCTTGTTGTAGATCTCAGGTTTAAATTACATGTAGTTGATTATATAGTTACTGAGATAAGCCAACATTTAGGACATGATTATACGTATTATTTGATTAACTTTAAGCAAAAATTGGAAAGCCTTTTTTCTTTATATCAGAGCAGGTACAATGGAAGTGGAATTGAAACGTCCAATAGAGATGTCCGACCGGACCCTGGTGAAGACATCTATCAAGGATCGAGTATGTAGACATATATGGAACATGGCAGAAGTAGTAGCTCCAGCTCGTACGTACATGGACCAAATGAGCTGAATCGCTACCTACAAATGGACATGTCTTAGATGACGAAGAAGGAGAAATGTGAGATGAATGTGCTTCAATGGTGGAAACAACATCAAAGTCGATTCCCCATTGTAGCCCAAATGGCATGTGATATTTTATCTGTGCTGATTTCTACAATTGCATCTGAGTCAGCATTCTTAATGAGTGATCAGATTGTTAAAGACAGAAGATGCTCTTTAACCAATAAGATGATTGAAGTGATAACGTGTTTATGAGATTGGACTCATGCAAAGAGAAGACTACAACAGTATCCTGAAGATCTCAAACTACTCGAACTCTTCAAGAACACAGATTTGAACAATGTAAATATTGTTGATGATGAATAATTTAATAAAAACAAATTTATTTAGTTGTTTATTTGTGAAGTGTGATTGTGTGAATATTATATTTATGTTAAAATTAATTAATTAAATTATCTCTTTAAAGTTTAAATTTAAAACACCCCATATTTATAAATAATTATTAATTATAATTAACTATTAATTTATTTATTATTTTTTAAAATTAATTAAAAATTTACTAATCTCTCATAGGTGGAAATAAATTTTCCAAGCCGCTAAAAATTACATAAATCTCCCTACATAATTTTTTTGGCCCCTTAAATATATAAAAAAAGTTGCAAGGTGAAAATAAATTTTCCAGGCCCATAGGACCGGTCTTGGGCCTTGAAATTTCTCATGGGCCTAGGATTGGTCCCAAGCCCGTGAGTGACTGGTCCCAATCAGGCCCAGACCCAAACCCGGTTGGGACTAGTCCCTGCCTAGGTCTAATTCATATGGTTAATATCTTGAGCACCCCTAAACTTTAGCTTAATTAAAAATTCCTATACTTTTGGAAATTATCGCCCACCTCCATTAGAGTTTAGAGACTCGTATTTAATTTCTTAATTACTTCTTAATACGTATATACTTTCCAATGGTGATACTTCTGCTAGGAATCTCAGGATATTTTACTATCTAATACCTACTTTCAAGTTTAATAATCATGATCCACAAATTTTGGAAATTGACACTTACATCCCAATAATTAACGGGCCTACGACATTCTTCGATGGCATGACACTAGGGCTGTTATCGAGCCGAGTTGAGCTGAGCTGAGTTTTCAGCTAACCGAGCTCGGCTCGATCAATAGGGGGCTGAGTTTGAGTTCGAGCCGAGCTAGACAAGCCGTTGATTTCCTGTTCGAACTCGTTAAAGGAGAGGGGGGATTCAAGCTTGGCTTGTGAGCCAGCTCAAGAATTTGAATTTGAGTCGGCTTGCGAGCCATTAGAGAAGCGTGCATCTTTGATCTGTATAAGTATACACACAATCCAAAAATGTTGCTTGTCTCTTATTTTTTTTTTTTTTTTTATGATAAAAGGAAATTGTTGTAGATAATCATGCAAAATCTTACAGATATTGCATGATTAAGTGTATAAATCTATAATAGGATATTAGGATTGTAATCAATACATAATAGGAACAAATCTGTAAAATAGGAAGTTAGTTTTTTTATTTCCTAGATTAGATTATTTATTTCCTAGATTAGTTCTTTATTTTCCTATATATTGATGTATAATTTGTCAATACAAAATAAGAAAATTACAATCAGTTCTCTGTTTGTAACATGGTATCAGAGCAATTCTAGGTTGTTTTTTTTTTTCAATTCGTTTTTTTTTTCTGCCCAAGTGAGCATTATTTGTGAGTCACCCTGGAGAGTGCCATTTTTTCTCACCGCTTGCCTAGGAAGAAGCCTCGTCTACCGGTCTACCGATCGACCATTCCCTGAAGTCCGGTCATCGGAGGAGTAGCACGTGAGTCTCACGCACCACCCTTTTTCATCTGCGTCAGATCCACGCGCTGGCGCGTGTGGGCGCTTGCGACGGAGGAACTTGCTTCTATCACCCTTCCCGGCTTCGTCTTGTTATT